GCCTCAGCTGTTATGTCTCTTAAGGGAAAAGCTTCCGGCCAACCTTTGGCTCGGTCTAACATCGTAATTAAATATCTATATCCTTTGTAAAGTGGTAATGGAGTATGCGTGAAATGATATTTTGAGTATAAAAGAAGAGGTATGATACAATTTTAAAAATAGAACGGAATGCAAGATGAATAAAAGAGAAGAAGGATGTTTTAATATAATGACGACACGACGAGACGCGTGAACATTGTTTTGTATAACTTTAAAAGAATAAATAGTTAAGAGTGTTTTAGACGCTTTTATTAGTATCCCCGGATCCTACATGTATGTTCAAAACGGTTGCTTGTGGGAAATTTACCAAAAGGTGATATTGTATGCCTAAAGGCGTGTCCAAACATAGCGCTGCGAGTGCGCGGCAGCAACACGCGGCAATCGCGAGACACAGCTCTGATGCGCGACTAGTGTAGACATCCCAGAAATGTGTGCGCGGCAATACTGCGCGGCATGTCCTAGACACGCTGTGCTCTCAGTTTGCATTCGATCCAAAATGAAAGCGGCCGCGTGTGTTGTAGCTCTACTTATTATTCGAAAATTACGCAGAAGGAAGAGACTGAAAAAAACAAGGCAATGCTGGATACGACCACTTTTCCAACAGAGGGTAAAGAATTTGAAAGTGATTAATTATGAAATCCACTATCGAACAACACAGTTTTTAAGATTGACCTTGGAAGAATTTGAACATATACATACACTGGTGGAACCATTTATTAAAAAAACTGATACACACTGGCGTGTAGCAATAACGACGAAAGAGAGACTCGCAATAACTTTGCGATATTTGGCCACAGGAGACTCATATACTAGTCTACAATATATATTTCACGTGTCAAAGCAAACAATCTCAAAAATAGTCCCAGAGGTGTGCGATGCCCTAGTGAAAGCTCTGAAGGATGTGATAAAGGTAAAAAAGAACAACTTTATTACTTACATTATTTTTATTAAGTTTTTAATCAATCATAAATATGTGCATGTTTAATGTGCAGACAATAAAAATGAAACAATCACTATTTAATTATAAACTATTCTCAGTATTCAAATCGTTAATCAATTGTGTAAGTCCGGATCCCATACTAGAGTCACTAGAGGATGCCGTATTGGAGATATCGGTATAACGTGTAGTAAAATAACCTGGTCTTCTTTCATCGTTTTCTTGAATTGTAGACTGATTGAGTTGGTTTATACATGCCATATCAGCGTCAAATATTATAGTATTTATGGAATGTTTTACTCTTGCTAAGGTTATGGGATCGTATTTTCTCAACTCTGCCGCTACGTGCATGCCAAAAGCAACGTATAAATCGTTGCTGTTATCGCTTTGTTTTCGCATTTCTTCCAATGCATCTTCTAACATTTTATTCTCGGCATCATACTCCGGATCTTCGTGTGTTCTCTTTGTTGGCTTCCTTTTAGTTGGAATCGTAGATGCAGTATTCATGTTAGTCATATTTAGTTCTGAAGTGCCTTGTTCTGTAGCGCTTTGTTCTGTAGCGCCTTGTTCTGAAGTGCCTTGTTCTGTAGCGCTTTGTTCTGTAGCGCCTTGTTCTGTAGCGCCTTGTTCTGTAGCTCCTTGTTCTGTATTATGTGACTGCGACGATGAGCCACAATCCTGTAATCAAAACAACGATTTTTAGTTGTGTTTGTAGAATATAGGTATAGTCTTTGGGATTTAAGAAGTGTCTCCGTTTCAGCTAGGACTAAAATGCTTTCGTATGATGTCCGACTGTTTTCATTTATATCTGTCGTAGAATGTCGTAGTTAGATTTCCACGCGATTCTTTGAGGTTACCCACCCCCACCCGTGTTAAGATAAATTTCGCATTTTTTTAATGTGAACTTTATATTTTTCAGTTACCAGTATCGGAACAAGATTGGAAGATAGTCTCTAAAGAATTCGAGGAAAAATGGAATTTCCCACATGTCATCGGTGCTTTGGACGGAAAACATATAACTATTCAGGCTCCTTTTAGAAGCGGCACCGAGTATTACAATTATAAAAAATATTTTAGTATTGTACTTTTAGCATTAGTAGACTCAAATTACAATTTTATGTACGTTAACGTTGGAAGTCAAGGTCGAATATCAGATGGAGGCGTTTTTAAACATTGTGAATTGTACCGAAAGTTAGAAAATAATCAACTTAATGTACCAGCACCAGAAATTTTAAATATACCCTACACAACAAAAGTACCCTATGTCATATTAGGAGATCAAGCTTTTGCTTTAACTAAATATATGTTGACACCTTTTGCAGGAATTCATTCAAAAGGGTCTAAAGAACGGATTTTTAACTACAGACTATCGAGAGCACGTAGAGTAGTTGAAAATGCTTTTGGTATTTTGGCGTCTAAATTTAGAGTACTGAGAAATGCAATTATGTTAAACCCAACATCAGCTAAAAAGGTAGTTCTAGCTGCTGTTCACTTGCATAATTTTCTTCGAAACAGCTCTTCAATAACAACCTCTAATAACTCAATGAATGAATCAGTTACTTTAACACCGAACGAATGTATAGGTGGCACTCCAACCGATATTCGTAATTTTTTGGCAGAACATTTTATGGCAAACGGGTCGATTATTTGGCAAGATAGATATTAAATAATTACGTTATGAGAAACTAGATGACGCCCGCGACTTCGTCCGCGTGAATTTATTTTTTAAAATCCCTCGGGAACTCTTTGATTTTCCGGGATAAAAAGTAGCCTATGTCACTCTCCAGGTCCTCAGCTATACCTATGCAAAAAATCACGTCGATCCGTAACTCTGTTGCGGCGTGATTGAAGGACAAACCAACAAACACACTTTCGCATTTATAATATTAGTATGGTTATACATGAATGTATGTATGAAATTAGCGTACTTACCACTGTGTCAATAGGATTACCCCTATCATGCAAAAAGTGGAAAGATTCGTAGGCAAACCATTTAGACTTGTAGGCCTTGTTTCTATCTGTAACAATAAAAGTGTCAATTCTGTTATATCCATCTGCTTGTGAGAAATACTTTCCTAAACATGTGTGTATAAACTCACGACCATCAGTCTAGTTTACCAGCTGATCAGACCGTTAAACATATTTTACAACGGTCACATATTTTAACCAAAATATTTCGATGATGATTATACGTATTTCGAAAATTATTCAATCTACGTAATTGCACTAATTCATTGATTTATTAAAAACATTCATTCAATGATTTTGCGCTCTAAGAAATGTCAAACTCAATCGGTTTGCCATATTTATTTATATTTTGGGTCGTGCATGAAAAAACGTACTATACTTAGTTGAGCATTACAAACGTGCGAACTGCGTACGAACCATATTACTATCATTATGTGAGCGAGCGCAATGCATGCGCCTGACCGCTCTCACCTAGGCTCCGACAGGCACGCACACTTACACAATTATACATGTACACGACGTAACCACAAATAAAGCTCACTCGGTTACGTAAATTCCAAGAACTACATATACCACAGTATACATTTAACTTAGATACCTATATGTAAGTAGAATAGAATCTTTTGTTACAAGTACTTCATTTTGTTATTGTTTGCTGTAGGAGTACTTATTGTCATTTCATCAATATCATTAAATAAAAGATTAAACTTACCCGAACCAGTAATGTTACTCGTTTTTTCTCTGTTTCTCTCCCTTCTGTATGAGCTTAAAAGACTTTTCATTTTGGTTTTTAGAACTGCTTTCGGTTGCTCGAAATTTTTTGCGATTTCATCCCACATGTCTTCTCTTAAATTATTGTTATGATATTCTTTGCGCCTGGTGTCCCATAATGCATTAAATGAACCATATATTTCAATAAGTCGAATTGCCGTTTCGTTATCCATCGTTTACGTCCACACACCTTCACTGACGAACGAACACTACGCGCGCGGCAACCTCGTTCGCGCGCGGCAGCAACACGCGGCATTCGTGCGCGGCGGCCGTCCAAACACAGCGCGGAAATCGCGCGCGGCATGCCGCTCACGATTGCCGCGCTATGTTTGGACACGCCTTAAGTATTTTACATTTCAGACAATCTATACATGCTCGAGCCCAGTAAGCAACATCTTTGTTCATAGAATGCCTAAAGAATTTATCGCATATCATCTTTCTAGTTAATCTTAAGCCGGGTCCAGACATGATCATTTGAACCGATCCTATCACCGTATCCGATCACCGTATCCGTATCTGCGTATTGTCAAGTCCCGTATCAAGTTGTGGACGCCTCCGATTTGCTCCGTATCCGTATCTTCACAATAGTCATGATCGCGTATCAAATTGCCCAGTTCAGTTTTTGCTCTCGATCAAACATGTCATCGCAGCTGGTTGAAATGTACGAGAATTTAGCAATTTCATGTGCCTGTTTTCTCAAAACCAAAACAGAGACGATGGTGGCAAACGGAATTATTTAGAAACAGAAACAGACTTGGAGGAAGAGCTTTGATGAGAGACCTAAGATTTCAACACATAAGTGGTAAATACAAAAACTTCACCCGTATGGCACCTAGTGATTTCGAATATTTGATAAAATTGATTGGCCACAAAATTAAAAAAACGGATACTACATACAGGAAAGTAATTTCTGTTAAAGAAAGATTAAGTATCACTTTGAGACTTTAAGCCAGCGGAGATTCCTATACAAGCCTACAATATTTATTCAGAGTTTCGAAACAATCGATAAGTGTTATAGTGCCAGAGACCTGTCAAGCTATCGTGGAGGCATTAAAAGACAACATCAAGGTAGGTTATTTTTTATTATAGAAATAATTATTGATCCATATCCTCAATTATTTATAAGTTTATAAACAATTATTGTTTATTACTAATAATTGATGTCATGGATCAAATCACGAAAAGAATCTTCGGAATCCATCGACGAATCATCCACTTGAGTCACTGGAGAATGTGCTTGATTTTCAGTCATGTACGGGGCTAAACTTTATGCTCTGTTTGACTAAGAAGAATTTACAGACATTTGTGGAGTTGTAGTCTCAGCCATGGGATATGTAGATGCCGGAGAGGAGTACTCGTGCTGATATTCATATTGTCCACAATCAGCGTTATATAGGATGTTGTTTATTTGATGTTCCACAGTCATGTAGGTTTGCTTGGAATAACCCCTAAATTTGCCTGCCAAATAATTAGCGTATAGCTGATACTGGTCTAATCCAGTAGCAGGTGCAGTCGAAGCAGTAGCTACCGCTTTAGCAGCCGAAGCTGATGATGTCAGCAAATCAAATGCCGATTGCAACATTGGGTTCTGGTTCACGACGTATTTTCTCTGTTTCGGAAGTGGAGATTTGAATTGCGATTTTGATGAATTCTTTGCATTATCGGATGTTTTGTCCGACTCAGTGTTCGCGGTGGAACAGGGTTGTTTATAATAATACTTTCTTAGATTTACGCGGATATTTATCTTGTGACTGATCATGATCTTCACCTATGTCGTCATTTTCCTCATTTTCAGTTGTATTATCCTTCAAAGCGCGGTCTTGGCCTTCCTGCAAGCAAAATAAAATAATTATAATATATTTGTTACAGATGCCTACATCGCATCAAGAATAGGAGGAAATTAGTTCCGAGTTTCAAAACTGTTGGGATCTTCCACACGTGGTTGGTGCTATGGACGGGAAACACATCATGTTGAAGGCACCTTTCAATAGCGAATCGGAGTTTTATAATTATAAATTGTCATCGCATAAAAACTATCATTATTGCGGCTTGTCCAACCGTCAACCGTAACACATACGGCAAAAGCACGTTCTAGTCGCCGCTGGACTCCTTCGCGAACCATATTATACTGCGCGGGAATCAAACTTGAAGTGAGGGTTTTTCTGGTAGGTAATTGGTATGATGGACACAAAAGATGGATGAGTTTTTTTAAATTCCGGATCTTCTACTAAACTAAACGGATGGTATTCTTTTGTTATCATAGCTACGAGCTGGATATCTATTTCTTTCCTTTTTTTACTTGTTAACTGCTTAGGTAAATATGAAGTGATGGTCTCCTTCAATGGCAGTTTTCTTGGTATACATGCAGAGCTCGCTTCATTTTATTTTTACTGAGGCCGGAGGTGGATGGCTGATCGATTAAATTTACTGTGGCGCTCAAATTACTCTCTGGATTATTTTCTATAATTCTATTACGAGTGGTGGTAATACCTGGATGTTTTTTTAAATGTCTTATCAAATTCCCTGTCGAATTTTTTGAAACAGCGACTAACTGACTGCAATACACACATTTTGTCTTTGAGTTGTCGTTTACATCGGTAAAATGGTTCCATACCTCGCTTCTTTTACGCGACATAATTAAATAAAACGCAAATTAAAGAATTACTTATATTATGTACCTACTACCTATTGCCTATGCATATTATTAAGGCCAGGTATTCCCAATATTACATCACTTTTATTTAATAATAAACAAAGAAATCGTGATTTTTTAAAGTAAAAAAAAAAACTTATTGAAGTTTATGTACTTTTACAATTTGTGGTTCGAAATACGATATCGAAAACTTGACTCGATCAAAAAAAATTCCGAAGAACAGTCAAATTCGATATTTTTTAAAGGTAATTCTTGTTTTTCTCGAAGCTTATAAAAGCTTTACTAATAAAAAACCATATCTAAAAAAAGGTAATTATACATATAGAAAAATAATTTGTGGTTACATTTAAAAAAATAGCTTAATTCTTTTAATAATAAATTATTATATAACACAGCGGCTCGCGTTCGTCACTTCAATCGCCCGCACAGAGTACATTATATATACAGGAATAGAGTTGTCAGTGGCTACCCTATTAACAGCGACATCTCGTGGGGAGTTGAGCAAACTTTAATACAAATTGTATACGTACTATAGCTATTATACATATACATAATACTGGATTAATATAGGTATTGGTGTTCTCACTCAATGCATGATTTGTTTTGTATAATTCTGACATAAGTTACTATTTGTTTTTCACAAATGGTAACCTATGACAGAATTAACAATACATGTAATTAGGGGGATAACACAATAAAACTACGTATTTATTTTCTTCTTTTATTATAATATTGAGCAGCTAACACTTGCAAATTATCATTTTCGTCGTACTGTCTGATTGAGCCTGCAAGAATTTTATTTAAATCTCGACACCAATTATACAGAAATATCATACAAGCCGTATGATATATTTGCTCAACCAAATCCGAAGAGTGCTCCTCACATTTTAAATAATTTATTTTTTTATTTATTTATTAAATAAGGCTTACCAACTAGAGTACATACACAAACTTAATCAATAAAATAACGTTAATAAAATCCTTTTTTGTATATAACTCTAAATTACAGGCATGCACAACATTTTATAATTAGGTAATACATACACTCTACTTAAATGACAATAATATTAAAAAAAAAAATGAAATATATGAAATGTAACACTAAATGATATCTTTAAGATTTCTTTTAAAATTGTACATTGTATTTGAAAATATATCTATAACAGGATACTTGCGAGAGATTTCATTATAGTTTATTAAGATTTTGTTTAAAGGTGAGTTTTGTCCGAATCTATATAATAATGAGTTTCGACTCTGGCGTACAATATAGTCTTTATATAATTAGCTATGTTTTTCATTGGTCCTTTTTTTTAATATTATGGACAATGTCCTGAATTAACGAAAATGTTTTTACGAGTTCCTCAGAAGGATATGTTAGGTAGGCCTTGTTTTTATTAAATTCGCGAATTTTTATGTACTCGGTAGCCCTGTTTGCGTCATATAAATTATTTTTACAAGTCACACAATTTTTAAATATTTTATTTTGGCACTGGCGTAAAATGTAACCTGTTACGTACTGCAATGTAGCAATTATTCTGGGATCCCTCTTTTTTATTTCTAAACTCACAATGAAATCATTATCGTAAATGTGGCTAAAATCAACTTCAATGGGTTCATCACTTTTTGTGCTTTTGCTAAAAAATAATTTACTTATAGATTTAAATATGTGGCATGAATCTTCTTCACAATTGGGTCCCGGTGAATAACTCGTGCTTAAATTATTTACGAGTAATGACGCAAACGCAGCTTCAAAGCCTGCACATGAGGGAGAATTATTTCTGTACCCATGACTCCGAACGCTACCAAAAAAATTTTCTAATGGATCCTCATTAAAATGTCTACACCATATAGATTTTAAATTATATTCGTAAAATAATTTATTCCGTAGGCACTCCATATTTTCTATGGTTAGCAACCAATTGCTTATAGATGGCACTACACAAACTTTTCCTTCTTTGGAAATAAATTTCATTGTTTTTAAAATCTGTTTAGCTTTTCTCCAGATTTGGTTGTGCAATGAAGATGGTGTTAAAGGTTGTAGTAGCTGTTTGCCACTTCTTTTAGAAGAATTTAGAAAACTTCCATTCATTGAGTCAAACAGTTCGTCGAAAAAGATAATTATATCAGCTGTGTCCTGGCATTCTTTTGGTAACAGCCCCTTGTCTGAAACACAAAAATAAATACCTGAGACCTTTTTTAATTGACATGCATCACAATTATATTACCAGATCAATAAGAAAATGTTTTCATTGTCTGTTTCATGAATTAAAAGATTTTAACTTCATGGATTAAATTTTGGAAACTCACCTGCTAAGTAGCCCATATTTACTCCAACTGTTTGGCTAAAAATTTGTGATGCAAACTTCCCCTTCATTTTCGGAATTTTGTTAGGATTGCAATGGTATTCAGTATTTTTTTTTACCAGTTTTATTCCTTTGTATGTAGGAACATTTTCATAAAAATTGACAATGTGCTCCCATTTAGCTAATTTTTGTTCTCCCTCCATTGTGCATATTAAGTTTTTCGTAAGTAAATTATTGCGTATTCCCTTTAATAAATGTGGGACATCAAAGAGTGGGATAATCTCATTGCCATCTACCTCAAATGTTCTGTATTTCATTTCTTTGCCATTTCGTAAATAAGCAACTCTTGTCTCTTCTATTAAATAATTTACCGCACTTACATTTGATGTCCCCTGATCACAGACTGTCGCCAGAACTGTAAATCCTACTGAAGTTAACTTTTTTGTTAAGGTCCTTATTAGTAAGCACAGATCGTCTCTTTTTGTGCTGCCTGAGCAAAATGTGTAGCTAATAGGCTGTTTATAATTTTTAAAAATACCTCTTATCATTACCACTAACACATGGTCAGCAATTTTATTTTGAGTTGAGATACCGTTGTCGACTAAGCCGATGATTCTGTCGCTTTTTTTGTTATAATCAAAATGTGGAGTTAGGGCCATTTCATCGAAGAGAAGACAGCACAACCTGTCATCTGGCTTCATTCTTTTTGCTCGTTTTTTTAGTTGATTAAAAATGTTTTCATTCAGGCCTGGCTTCAGTCCTGCCCTTGAAACCATTCTACTTAATGTTACTGGTGATGGCAAAACAAATATATTTTTTTAAAATCGGTAGCATCTAGGTCCTAACTTGTACACAGAAAGTGCCATAATTTTTTCTTCTTGGGTAAACCGTCTAGCCATTTTGAGTTTTCCAATTTCTCGGAACTGCATAGAAGTAAAAATTGCCGCCAAACTAGTAAATTTCTTTAAAGCATCTTGAAAACTCTTGTTTTCTGATAATTTCAAAGCTTTCTTTATTGTCCTTGCATATTTATTTTATACTGATCACCAACAAGAGTCCAAAAAGAATGCCAGGTCAATATTTATACGACGATGATCGGAGTCCAAACGAAGCCAAAGGTCACAGGTAATAAACGGGAAATAATTGGAATCCGGGATCGGTGTAAGAGTTAAAATTGTTAATAAAATCTACTGAATAAACGCAAACAGGTCAGAACGCAGTAAATTCCAAAAACAACATAAAAAAATAAAATGGCGGTTTCAGTGGCTGCAAATCTTTTCGTTTAGAAATCGTGATTTGAAATTTAAGGATTTTTGATCCCATAATTAAATAATATAGATTTAAAAAATGAACTACCATTTACTAATCTGATACCATTTATTAAATGTATAAAAGTTACCTAAATTAAAAATCAAAATCAAAATCAAAAGTGGAAATTTTATAGGGAAGGCAAAATGTTAGTAGTGAAAACGCCGTGGTCGCCCGCCAGGCCTTGTCGAGGTAAGACCTATGTCCCTTTTTTCCAGCGCGCGCCTATCACATAGTGTAAATAAAAGAAATCAGTTATTCGTTTTTGTTAGTAAACAGAAGTAGGTATGGGGAATAAAAATAAATACAAGAAAGTGGCCAGGTGTAAAGTGCGGAAAGTTAGACAAGAAACCAGGTAAGTTTGTTTACAATTTATTTATTTACATATTATCAACCTAATAAGTCTTGATTTTTATTTATTTATTTATTAAAACTTTACAAGAATAAATACTAATAAATAGATAGATAGATACATACATATAAACATAATGAACTTTGAATCATTATAAACGAAGTAACTTTTTTGTAAGGTAAATTCACGCCAACAAATATTACGTAAGTTGAAAACATGATTTTTTGTTTGTGTAGATATTCTGTTGTTTTTAGTGTCATTTGATAGGTTTAGGTCCAAAACGGATAGGACAAAATAAATTGTACAAATAGGGTAATCCGTTTAGAAGTTATTAGGGATTATCGATAGTGAAAATTGACAAATGTAAAATTTTATCGGTGCCGGTAATTATACAACGTATATTCAAAGTATTATCTAATTCTAATCGATTTATGTATTTAATGTTTACCAACAATATCTATAAAGTTCAATATTTTACACATTTTATTTTACCAATACCTACATATTACATAGTAGAATCATAACAGTAGAATAATTTGATAATATTTTTCATGAACATTTTTTTATTGTTGTAGTGCATCAAAACCACGATGCAAAGGAATGTATGCGTCCAAAAAAAACACAAATATAAAGTAAGTATCTAGTATACCTACCGCAATGCAAAATGCTACCAGCTCCAAGGGAAAAGGCACCCACACTTATACATCTTCGTACAACTCACGAGACGACCACGGGCATTTGTTTGATAGTTTGTTTGTTAGTTTGAGTTCTATGTGTGCGTGCTTCTATCACACGTTGTAAAGCCCGCCTTCTGTACTTATATAGGTATATATTTATTTTGTGTACATATCCTAAGTATTAATTCTATGGATACATTATTTTATATATAATATTAGCTTTAAGTTCGAAAATATAAATGCACAACAAATTATAAATGTATTTAAATTACTGAATGTTAAAAAAACAAAAGATCTTTGGGGAATTTCTGTTAGCATCCTTAAACCACTTATTGATGTTGTTGCATCTGACTTAGCATTAATATTTAATAAGTGTGTAGAATCTGGTGTGTTTCCTGACTTAATGAAACTTAGTAAAATTATTCCTTTGTTTAAATCGGGTTGTACCTCTGATGCCACTAATTTTAGGCCTATTTCAATATTACCTACATTTAGTAAAATCTTTGAAAAAATAATGTTAACTCAAATTACGAAACATTTTTATAATAATGAACTATTACATGTAAAGCAATACGGTTTCACTCGCGGTCGTTCAACAGCCGATGCTGGAGTCGCGTTACTTCTAAATATATTTGAGGCCTGGGAGGAGTCACGTGATGCACTTGGCATTTTCTGTGATTTGTCCAAGGCATTTGATTGCGTTCATCATGAAACGTTGGTCAGAAAATTACACCACTACGGAATTAGAGATAAGGCTCTGGACTTACTTAGATCATATTTGAATGAAAGAATCCAGAGGGTAGACGTGAATGGAAAGCGTTCCCCTGGATCAGTTGTTGAAATGGGTGTACCACAAGGTTCAATTTTGGGTCCTTTTTTGTTCCTCATTTATATAAATGACCTACCATACCTCGTAAAGGATGACCACGGGATAGTTTTGTTTGCTGATGATACATCTTTAGTTTTTAAAGTTAACAGACGACAAGCAGTAATTGACGATGTGAACATTGCTTTATCCAAAGTGGTACAATGGTTTAATGTCAACAACCTTTTACTAAACGAGAAAAAAACAAAATGTGTAAAATTCACTTTACCAAATGTTAAAAGTGTAAAAACCAATGTACGACTGAATAATGAGGAACTAGATCTAGCTGATACCACTGTATTTCTAGGCATTACATTAGATGCCAAACTCCAATGGGGCCCTCATATTTCTCAATTATCGAATAAGCTCAGTTCTGCAGCCTACGCGGTTAAGAAAATACGTCAATTAACAAATGTAACGACAGCTAAGTTAGTATACTTTAGCTATTTTCACAGCATTATGTCATATGGTATTTTACTATGGGGTAATGCTGCTGATATTGACACAATTTTTGTGCTGCAGAAAAGGGCTGTTCGAGCTATATATAATTTAGGCCCAAGAGAATCTTTGCGGAATAAGTTTAAAGAAATTAAAATAATGACTGTACACTGCCAATACATCTATCAAAATCTAATATATGTACATAAAAATATTGATAAATTCAAGAAATATAGTGACCTGCATAATGTAAACACTAGAAACAAAAATAAGCTAGTTCAGCCCACCACTAGGCTCCATAAAATTGGTAATTCCTTTATTGGTAATAGTATTCGCTTTTACAATAAACTACCAGATGATACTTTAAAACTGTCAATAAATAAATTTAAAATTTACATTAAAAGACAATTAATAAATAAATCCTATTATAATGTAAAGGATTATTTAAGTGATAAAAAAGCTTGGGAATGAATTGCTCTTTATACTGAAGTAAGGATGTTTGTGAAACAATGATCACAATAAAAAATGTTACTTGGCTGAGTTTCTTGTGGGTTCTTCTCAGACCAGGGCGCGTTACGAACCCTCGTAGCTTTAGTTTAAGTCTTCTAATTGACGTACACAAGTGATCATTGAATTGATACAATGTGTAAAAAGAAGTAAATAAATAAATAAATAAATATAAATGAGTTTGAGTGCTAAATTGGAACCGATTTTATTTTTTCTTCAGGAATCTTATTGTTATGGTCTTTTTTCAGACACTACGAAACAATGGCAAGCGCTTGTGCAAGTGGAGTTGATAACACCGACAACTCTCTTGTGACACTTGATCCTGTTGATACGCAACCCACTGAGACTGCTGTGTAAGTTTTTTTTTTACTAATAAAATTACTTTCCCCATAATTTTCCTTATGTAATAATCATTAGTATATTTATATTCCAAATATATTTAAATGATTTTGAACAATGTGGCAGAATATACGTTTCGTTGGAAAATTAATCTAGCTAAAATTGATACCACTGTATTCATGTAAGAGTAGAGTTGCTATAATGCTTTTTTTTATAGTCTAAAATCAACCCGTGAGTTGTATCATATAAAAGCGTAATTGTTTTTCATTCATTGTTACAGTGGAATGAAAGACATTCGTAATTCATTTATTGTGGAAGAAGAGGCTAGAAATCAAGATGATTTTCATCCTGTTAAGGGACGTCAAATAGTTGATATAAATTTCCTTCTTAGAGAACTGCAAGAAAAAGGGAGACATAATAATTTATTTGATTGCAAGATGAGTAATTTTCGATTAATCAGCGAAAGAAGTCTAGGGCTTATATCTGTTTTTTTTTTTTTTTTTAATTCCAATGTAGCATGTGTAAAGAAACTTGTCTGGTCCATTCTGAAGATTACAAGGATCCACAGCAAGTAAATTTAAATATAGCTGCAACCACGGGAATCATTGCTTGCGGCATTGGATACTCTACATTTGAGGAATTATGTTCTTCCATGAATATACCATCATTTTCTTCAAAATATTATTTGAAATTGCAAAATGATGTTTATGCAAAATGGGAGAAAACTGCTAGTGAGTCTTTGGCGGCTGCTGCAGCAAAAGAAAAAGAAATAGCGCTCGCAGAAGGAAGAACAAAGAACGGTTACCCCGTCATTGACGTATATGTTGACGGCTCATGGTGTACTAGATCTTACGGAACAAATTATAAATCTACATCGGGTACGGCAGCAATAATTGGCAGAAAGACTGGCCAAGTTCTATATCTTGGAGTAAAAAATAAATATTGCTTGGTGTGTGCTAGAGCCGCAAACAGAACGGTCGATCCGAAACAGCATGTCTGTTTCAGAAACTATGAAGGTTCTTCGAGGTCAATGGAAACTCAAATTATAGTCGAAGGGTTTAAATCCTCGATTCCAATGTATGGACTCATATACGGCAGAATGATAGGAGATGGTGACGCTTCAACCTACGCTAAAATTCTGAACGCCAAACCGTACGAAAATCAGAATTTGACAGTTGAAAAAATTGAGTGCCGGAATCATATATTGCGTAATTTCTGCAAAAAGTTACGTGGACTTACTACAGAAACTAAATATATGTTGGTAAACCATATATTTAGTTTCTGTAAAAAAACGCTGACCAATATAAAAACCATGTCAATGCGAAAAGCAATTGTTAATTCCATAAAACACCATAAAGTTTCCCAGAGTCCTAGGCATGTAGCTATATCGGTACTACATAATGATATTATTACCTCTTTGGCACATGCTTACGGTGATCACAGAATGTGCCAAAGTTACTTCTGTGACAAAAAAAAACAACTTTAATGAGGAGTTTAAAAAAATTCAAAATTCGACGTTTGCATTTAGAATAAATGCAATTATTTCCAACATTGCTGCGAAATCGCGAAGTCTAATAGAAGACGTAGACACTTATACTGTCGAATGTTTTAACAATGTAATAGCTAAATTTATTGGGGGGAAAAGAACAAATTTTGCATTAAAAGGAGGTTACCAGGGCCGTTGTCACGCTGCAGCAGTCTCATTCAACTCAAGAGCTGCTCTTTCCGCCATTCAAAAAGCTTTTACCGAGAAAAACCCCGGTGGAAAAGTGGAGGAAGTAGAGAAGAAAAAAGCTCTTAAAAGAAAATATAACGTTGAGCATCCCACAAGAAAAAAGGAAATTAAGAGAGACACAAAAACAAAATGATTATGGGCCAGCTTCTTCAGCGCCAGACATGACAGAAACTCAAATGGAGCAAGCCAAAAATGAATACATGGAAAATTTAAAAAAACTTACGTCTGATCGAGATTCCATAGAGAGGTCCACTACTTTACAAAGGGATAGTAGCGAGTGGCTAGAGATAAGGCAGAAGCTTATAACAGCCTCTAACTTTGGCTCCATATGTAAGCGGAAGTTGTCATCCAATACAGCTCCTTTGGTTAAAAATATACTGTATAAAAATAATTTGGCTCATGTTGCATCAATAGTCCATGGAGTAGAAAACGAACATCAGGCGCTGCTGCAATTACAGCGACAAGAGAACGTTAATATTTTGCCCTGTGGATTATTTATTGACAAATCTCACTGTTATATTGGGGTCACGCCTGACGGGTTGATTGGGACTGATACGATTGTCGAAATTAAGTGTCCAATGACAGCATCAAAACAAGGGTTGGTGAAAGCTATAGAAGAAAATAAAATTCAAATAATAAAATATAATAAAAAAACGATGACCAAAACCATTAAAAAAATAGTAATTGGTTCTACCAAATCCAAGGACAACTTCATATCACAGGACGGCGTGTGTGTCTCCTTGGGATCTGGGCAGGAGAGAATGAGCCTATACATACACAGCGCATTGAAAAAGATGACGAATTCTGGCAAAAAAATATGGAGCCAAAGCTGATACAATTTTATTTGAAGTGCTTGCTACCAGAACTAGTGGACAGCAGACATGAACGTGGTATGCCCATTAGGGATCTGACATTGCAAAATAAAGAAAACATACAGCCCAATAGTTGCACATCGTCGTTATTGTCAGAATCACATGTGGGTCCAAGCTCACGCGTGGTCAATATTGATCAATTTTGAATCATACATATAATTAAACTTAGGACTTTTCAAAATAAGAAGCGATTTCCATAATATAAATACGCGTAGTAAAAATGAAATTGTGATACTTACCTAAATTTAGATTAAACTAGCAAGTCGTTTCTTGTAAACAGCATCCGTTTTTATAACAAGTTGCCAAAGCCGGTTACAGAACTTAGCGATGGAAAGTTCAAAACCCTCATCAAACGTGCCCTTATCAAAAAAGCATATTATAAGATGAAGACGTTGAAGACAAGGTAGTTTGGCAATAATTCCTTCTGCACATGGGGCTTCCCTGGCACGTCATTAACGGCATAACTATGTCTATTAACTGCTCCCAAATTACGATGTTTATTTTGTATTTATTTTTTACATACTTCTTTGACATAATCTTTTTATCATTTGACATTATATACAGACAATGCAAATTTTTCACCTCTTTATTAGTGGTTGTAATGGCAATCATATCACTTGGTTTTAGTAGGTTTTTACATTTTATTTTTTATTTATCCTTTTGATACATTCTTATTTTGTAAATGTGAGGACTTTGTAAGCCTTGTAGACTTTAGATCTGTAGACCATTTTTTATTTTATCAAGTACCTGGTACTTGTTGACAGGCCTACGCTGTACTCCCATACCTACTGTTATTTGAAAATATTGTAAAAGCCAATTATTTTTAAAAAGAGTAACGTTCTTCTCCATAGGAAACGACCAATTGGATCCGTACACCTAGCTTTTGACGTTTCATAAGTACCCATGTAGGTTTATGTGTATATATGTATGTGGCTGCTGTACGTCCTATAATTTCCCTACTTTTATGGCCATGTGAAATAGAAATTTCTGTGAGCAGTTGAGATAAACATGTTTCAATTCTAAGAGCATACTGGCTCATAGGTTCGTTAATTTGTTGTTTACATTCTTGTAGGTCTGTAAGTAAGTGGGTGTAATGTTTCTTTTCGCTAAATTGTGTTTTTAAGAACTCTTTAAGCTGCGGCCAATTGGTAAACTCTTTTACAGAGCACGCGGTTTGTGCCTTGCCTTGTAATTGGCACAATATATATTTAAATAAAATATCCATTTGTGGTTCTGTGGCTAGGTCGTAGGCATTATTACAGTTGACTAAAAATGAGTTAAGTGATTCCCTACAACCATCATATGGCTTTATAAATTTAAGTAGAGTGGATAAATCTGACTCAATTTTATTCGCCACTGCTAATTTATTTTTTGAAATTGATCGAGTAGTAGGTCCAGAAGGAGGAGGACAAAGGCCATCGTCATCTGTGTCAGTGACGGCAATTTCTGGTCTTTCGAATTTTGGACTTCTGCCAACCGCGTGGAAATCGGTTCATTCATTCAAGAGTTATTGCTCTTGATTATATTAAATGATATAAAATAATTAAATTATTTGAATACTTATTTAAATTTATTTACTTATTTTTAGTCAAGTTTAATTCTATAAAACTTTTAATTATTCTTACATTTTCATAAAATTAAAATTAATTTAATTATACTAGAACATACTAATTTTTTTCACATTTTTTACACATCCAATAAGTTTTACGTGGACAACGCTTTAATCCCGTACATTTCAAATGATACCATTCACAACAATAATCACATCCTATACTTGTTTTCACTTTTTCTTCATCATCTACTGTCGTATCTAAATTTTCTTTACACGAAGGACATTCCCATTCGTTTAATTTTTTTTTGTCTCGTAAACTTGTTCCACTATTTTCAAAGCATCAGCCGTAAAATATTTTTTCATTAAATTAATTTTCACTTGCTTATCTAAAACTGCAGATGATACATTATCAGAAATTGTTTCCACTTCATCTTCTTGAATTACACGATTAGTTTTTAATACTTTAGTCAGTTTCATTATTTACAAACCAATTTAGCATGATTGACAATTTATCATATAGTGTTTTCTTGACAAACGGTTGAATTGATTTTTTCTTCTTTGGTAAACCAATCGCTGTTTGCGTTGCTCCTTTCCGTCGTCCTCGTTGTCTCATAGCCGGTTGGACAATTATATTCTCCAATATTTTAATTTTTTTATCAACATTAACGCTATTTGATACATTTGATAATGATGTAGAAGGCCCAGGAGATGGTGATTTTTTCCTTTTTTTAACTCGAACAATCATTATCTCTTCACCATTTCGATACGCATCGAGTACATCACTCAAATTTTTCATCCGTTGTACGTACAAAACGTTACTTTTTTCTGCAACTAAGCCTGGAAGATCTTTTATTAAAAGTGAAGCCTTCTTAAACTTTTCGTGCTGAGAAAGAATTTTTTTTTGATATTGATGGGATGAAATAATACATTCTGGTATCTCAGCTTGAACATCTTTTTTTTTAAAAACTCTTTGAGTTTTAAAGTAATATTTTTTTGTCCAACGTTCCAAGCAAATCTTTTCTTCGTAAAGATCAATATTTTTCAGTTTTCTAATAGCAAATATATGCCTGAAAACACCAATAAAATGATAAGATTTTGTGTAAAGGTAGCATTCGGTTCAAGACGACCGCGACGCGAGACCGCGACTCGAGACCGCGACCGGCAACCGGTCGCAGGTCGCAGGACGACAGCTACCTACGAATCTATGCGACACGAGTCGTGCGACCCATACGAAACTCAGTATGCTTGCAGTTACTAAACTAAACGGTTGTATTCCATCACGACGCGTTTTAACTATGAACAGAAAAAGATTTATTCGACAGTTATTAGAAGACGAAGAAGAAGAAGACGATGATATGCTTCTTTTATTATGTGCTCTAATTCCGAAAAAAAGGATGAAAATCGATACATTGTTTACGTCGCGAGAAGAAGAAGGCTGCTTTCAGACACTCATAAAACGACATTTAAATTATAAAGAAAAAAAGTTCAGAAAGTATTGTAGGCTAAATCATAGTCAGTTTAATTTTGTACTCAGTTTAATCAATCAAGATATTCAACCAAGAAGAAATGGCTCATCAATCATCACAAGCGCTCAGAAACTTTTCCTTACATTGAGGTAAAAAAATAATTGTTATCATATTCTGTAGATTCTTCTAATTGGAGATGATTATTTGCATCGTGAGCAACCTGATTCAGTAATGGGATGCTTAAATCAGTTGGTTGGGCAGGTGGAGACGCAATACTGCTGATAGGGGAATATGGGCTCAGGTTTGATGCTGAACTATGTGTAATATTCGAAATTGAATAGTTTTCATTTGAATGTGGGCTGTAGGAAGCGCTGCTGAGACTTGAACTTTTATTAATACTTCTCAATTCATATTCTGCCAGTAAATTAAAAACTTTCGTTTTAGCCTCCACTCTTAAACCCGGTGGTAATTTTTTTTAAATAGTCCCGATATGTGAGCAAAATGAATTGATTCCGTCTTTATCAGCTTTCTCTTCCTCTTCTGCCATGATCTTCATTTGTTCTTGTCTTTGTTTATCTCTTTCTTTCCAATGCTGCAGTAAAGATGAAATATGTAAATTACTATCCAGTTGACATGTTTTCTTTTTTTTCTCCCACTTGTCTCAGCTGTACCTTTACCTGGTCCGCTTGCCTCTTCATTGCTCGTTACTCCACTTCTCTCTGCATTACGTTTTGTTCCACTTGTACCAGCTGCACTTATTCCTGCTCTTTTTACCTCTTCATTGCTTCTTTCTTCACCACTTATCTCTTCACTACGTCTTCTTTGTTTACTTATCCCTGTTGTACTTGTTTCTTCACCACTTTCGCTACCTTCAGTATTTTCAGCTTCAACTGTTGCTACACTCGCTCTTTCTGTGGGAATTTTTTCTAAAAAACGAAGTCTCTCATACAGCATCCATTTTGTTGTTTTTAAAGAGGCTGAAGAACCCGTGGGCAATTTGTTCTTACGTTTGCATCTATTATAGGAATCTCTTATATATTTCCACCTCTTCTTGCAATCATTACCTGTAATGAACATAATGTTGTTTCAGATTTATAGCTACTGGAGAAACATATGCATCTCTAGAGTTCACGTATCGTATATCGGCAAGTTATATTAGCAGAATAGTGAAAGAAGTGCTTGCAAGCCTGCGAAAGAACTTGGTCCCACTTTGCATGCCAGTACCGACAGAAAATCATCTAAAGCAAGTGACGAGTGATTTTTGGAATCGATGGAATTTTCCCAATACTTTTGGAGCCATTGATGGAAAACACGTGCGTGTTAAAAGCTCCAAATAACAGTGGTTCGCTGTTTTTTAACTACAAGGAGTATTATTCGATCGTACTTCTGGCGATTGTAGATGCCAACTACAAATTCATTGCTGTTGACGTGGGTTCTTATGGTAAAGAAGGAGACAGTGGTATTTTTCAAAAGTCATGCATAGGGAAAAATATTGCTCGTAATAAGTTTAATGCTCCGAAGCCCGCAAATTTACCAGGAACAGATATTATGCTTCCACATTTTCTGGTCGGTGATGAAGCGTTTGCCCTTGATACATATATGATGAAGCCATATTGTAGAAATGATGCGAGAGCGAATCGTGATAAAGCTATCTTCAATTATAGACTTTGCCGTGCCAGAAGAGTGACAGAAAACTCGTTTGCATTGTTATCACAAGTATTTAGAATATTCTACACACCGATATCAATCAGACCTGAGGTTGTTGATGACTTGATTTTGACCGCGTGCTGTTTACATAATCTTTTGCGGGATGCTTATTTAGAAAAAAACGGCATTCCTTATTACAAATATGATCCAAAAATCCCCCCACCTACGGAAAACATGATACCATTCTCAAGAGTTGGTGGTTTTGCTAGTCTGGCGGCATTTGATATACGAAATTCATTGAAATCATTTTTTTTAAGTCCAGTTGGCCAAGTATCATGGCAGGAAAATCGAATAAATAGAATAGAATAGCGTCCCATGGAAGTAATCCCAGAACAGTTTTATAACCTCAAAAAATAGAGAAAAGTAAAATAGTACCTATTTGTAAACAATAAAAATAAGTACCTTTTCTAATAAAAATATGTATCATTTGAACTTACTTGTTTTATTCAACGCTTTTCCAATTTCTTCCCAAATATTGTCTCTCACAGTATTATCTTTATAAGCTTGAAGCCTCGTATCGAATAAAGGTGCGTTTTTACTGACTAATTCTATTAAAATTTCGTCTTCGTGCGAAGAAAACACGGCCATTTTGCATCTGTCGCGCCACGGCACTGCCTTGTGAGCGACCGAGTCGCGCGACGCAAGTCGCCGGCAGGCCACGCCCACACGTCGCGCGACTCGGTTGCTTGCATCCGTCAGCACTTCCTATTAATTCATATAAAGCAGTGGGTCGCGGTCGCCGGTCGCGGTCTCGAGTCGCGGTCTCGCGTCGCGGTCGTCTTGATCCGAATGCTACCTTAATTTTTTAATTGCTATTATTCCTATACTATTCAATTTGGAAAAATCAATAAGTATACAAATTGAAGCTTATTAAATAAGCTTTCAAATGCACTTTACAGAAATCCGATAGGATGTCGCGTTCTGTTTGTGCCTCTTAATCTGTTGTGTATCTTCTCTCTACAGTTTATTTTCATATCCTTCAGTATTATTTTTATTTAAGTTTTTGTAGAGCTTTTTGTCAACGTTTTTTACTAAAATTTTTTTTATGGCATTTTGGATGCGATATTTATAAATAGTATTAGCATAAGTGCTATATGCATAGTTGTTACCTGCAAGGTAAAGTCATGCTTCTAAATTTTGTATAATCACATGAATCAGCAGATGTTTCAATTCGACTTAAACCATCATAACTGATAATTAATTCTTGTGATTCTGGCGTATCAACATCAACATTGACGAATTTCTTTATTTCTTCTTGCACGAATTTAAATGCATAAGGTGTCAGAAAGTCATGATATTGTTTTAATGGGGAACTTTCTTCAAACGTTATCAGTTCCTTTTTCTGGTACGCATAAGCTGCTTTGTGGTCCCGTTCGGAGTTCCGACAGCAGAAAAACGTAATCAATTTTTCGACAAACTCTTCCAAGGAGTTATTATAGTTGCATGCCTGTCTAATTTTGTTGTTAAGTGACTCTAGTCTGTTATTTGTATTATTTAGAAAATTACCATGCATGAAGGTATTATTTAGTGACCATTCATTTCTAATAGAATGCCAGTTCTCATTAAAGTAATCAACGACAGATTGTGGCATTTCTTTCAACTCTTCATATAATAAATCATATTCTTCTTCTGTTTCAGAAAAAAACATTTTCTGAAGAATTGATTTTGCTGCATCCATTTGATCGCGTGTGATATTTCTTTTATCGGTTGTAATTTCTTGATTGAATATTCTGAGAGTGTGAAAGGCACAAATAATAAGGTTTGCTGATGGCAGAGCTTCTCTAATGGCAACTCTTTCATTGATGTCTTTATCCGTCATTACACATTTTATTTGGTCCCATTTAGGGTGAGCTGTTTTGAAGGAATTCATCATCCAGTTAATTGATTCCCTATCTTCAGAGACAAAAATGCAAACTCCAGCGACTTCAGAACAACCGTTTGGATCCTCAACCACCATTAAATAGACTGGAGCGCGAATATTTAAAAGTTTGAAGGTAGCATCGATTCCCATAAACTCAGGATATGAATCCATCGTTGACTTCATGGATTCTGTTGCAAAAAACAGCCCAGCAAACGTATTTTCTTTTTCATACAATAACCATTGTGCTTTAAATTTATTTTCTAGCTTCTGAAGGGTGGGAATTAACAAATTTTGTTTATTTTTTTTTAATTTGCAGTTAGCAAGGTCTTTTAGCAATATTATTTTATCAGTTTGACTTTCCATCATATCTTTAACCTTCACTCGGTTAGCTTCGAGATCTAATAACTCCGCAATTTTTTCCTTTTGCTCCTTAGTTAATCTTCTGCTCCGTGGATAGTGTCGAAAAAGATTTTTACTTCTATCGTGATTGTGATTCATATTAATTGATTTGATGACAAGATAGTGGCCAGTATCATCCACTCCGACGCTGAAAGCTGCTGGACATTTTTTCTGAAACGAGAACGCTTTTCTTGCTCCTTTCGACGTAGATATAAAAATTTTCCCTCCATGAATACAATAGTATTTGATGCTGTAATATATCAGGGACGCTTCAACATGCCTCTTGATTCCTTTTGTGCGACATCGTTCAATTTTTATAGCATCTCGATGATAAAAAAACGCGTACTCTTTTTCTTCGAAATCTTTTACTTTCTTCTCTAACTTTTCAAAAGAATCAAATTTTTTACCTTCCTTCAATAAATTTTCATCCATGACTTTGTCATTCTCATCAGCAGCTTCATCTGAATTAACAACTTCATTCGCGTCTTCTTCGTTTTGGTCTTCCTCTTTGCCTTCATCGTTTTCATATTCTTCTTCGGAATCTGAAGAATATATCATCAGTATTAAAATTAAAAAACAATTCTATATTAAGAAATAAATATATATTTTTTATTAATTGAATAATTACCCATTTTGTAAGATATTTTATACAAGCTAAATAAATTCAAATTGAATTATTTTATTATAAATACTTTATGACAGAATGAGAGAAATATAAACAAATGAAACTTTTTTAGAAAAATATTTATTTGCACATCTCTCCCGAATATCTATAGACCTTTGAGATGAACGGTTACTTAACGAAATTGGTAGCAGTTGCATTCCGAGAGACTCTGGGTCATTTCTCCAAGTACCAGGAACGATAGTTCTTGCTTCATAATTTTCTGTGTCTACTGTGTATTCATACAGTTTATTCTGTAATTTTGTTTGTCTGAGCCAATTATGTAAAGCGTAACAGGTCTTTACTATCTTAACAACTTTCTCAGGACTATAGGGCATCGGTTTTTCAAACACTCTAAATCTGGCAGCTAGTATACCGAAAGCATTTTCTACTATTCTTCTAGCCCGAGACAAACGATAGTTAAAAATTTTCTGCTGTAACGTTAATCGGTTTCCTGGAAAAGGTTTTAATAAATATCCTTTTAAGGGAAATGCATTGTCACCAACTAGGACATAACCCTCTGATAGAATACCGTTTTCTAATTCTTGGTACAAACCACAGTTACGAAATACGCCTCCGTCAGAAACCCTTCCATTACACCCAACGTCTATATAACTAAAACAATATTTATGATCTAAAACAGCCATTAAGACAATGCTGTTTGTTTCTTTGTAATTATAGTATAAACTTCCTGATTCAGGGGGTGCTTTAATGACGATGTGTTTGCCATCGATTGCTCCACAGCACCCTGGAAAGTCCCACTGTTTTCGAAAACCATTTTCAATTATTTTCCAGTCTGTAGTAGTAGGAATCTGAAAAAAATATATTAATGTTCATGAATACTTTGATACTAATTAAATTTTATTCGTTTCAGGCTTCCGATAGTTCACACACTGATACTACAGATACTGAAACAGTACTGTAGTGGACACTTTTCGTGAACCTACACCTCCTTGTCCACCTCTAACAAAAAAGAAGAAAATCGCCCAGCTCTCAAGCATGGTTAGCCAATTAAAAGAGATAACTGATACTACTAATTCTTCAGTCGAAGAAAATGAGTTTGAGATGTTCGGTAAGCACGTCGGTCTTCAACTGAAATCTTTACCCCTACTGGCTATAGAAGCACAAGAGCACATTCAACTTTACATAAACAGAATTCGACGTCAGCACCTTCAAAACGAATCTGAACCAAACAGAATAATCAGGACGCCACAGTCATCGTATGCTGCAGAATCACTATATAGCGATTCTTCAACATATTATAATGACACCAGTAATTATAATTTGGAAGAACAAGCAACTGAATGTATTTCCTCGTCCATTTTACCTACACAATGTCATTCTGAAGATGTTGCGGATTATCAGATTTCCTCAAATATGTTTCCATCTGACCATTTAAATGTAAATGAAATGCAGAGCAACATTAAAATTACATCAAATGACTTAATTTTAACAGCATTACAGAACGCTAATTTTGATAATCAAAAGTGATCAAAACAGCAGCAACAGCAAACAAAACACTTATAATGATAGCCTAACAATGTTGAAAATGATTCTCTTGATAAATAAATATTTCATAATAAATCTGTTTTAGTTATTTAATCTTACCTTGATAAATTCCATTAATGATTCATAGATCGCTTCACAAACTTCGATGATGAATTCGGAAACAGTTGATTTTCCGAGTCTAAATATATGTGTGTGTCCTTAAACTACATCCAATGGCAAGAAAGTATAGAACTGCTTTTAATTTTGTAATTGCAGGAATCGCACTTCTTAACAGAGTATCTTTACGCTGAATTTGAGAGTGTATTTTCATTAACAGAAAATTTACACAACTTTCGGACATTCACAAACTATCGAAGTATTCTTTGGGATCTTCCAATGCTAATTCCTTCAGAAGACAATTAGTAGCTCCTAGTTTATCTCGTCTTTCGATCCATTTTCGTACCCATAGCTTCTTTTTATTAATCACACAAATTTCCTCATCCACCTCTTCTAAAATAGCCGTTACGATCAGCTTAATCAGTTTATTTATTTTATTCCGTTGTAAGCTGTTCATCTTGCAAAACACCACTCACTTGTAAACTGTACTCGACCAAAGTGCGAATAAATTACTTACTAAACTACTCGACTAATTAATTTAGACGACTCGACTAAGTAATTTAGCTACTAAATTACTCGCTACTAGACTAAAATACTAGCTTAATGCGAACTAGGCTTAAGCGTTCCTCGAATATTTTTAATACTATAGTGAGTGTTGATCGCCCCCAAACTGGGTAAATGGTATATTAGATGTCGCAGGCAATTAGAGTAGTTATCAGTGCTAGTAATCATTTAAAACTTATATTTGTGTTCAACAGTAATTCTTAATAGTAATATAAATTGATTTTACATAGAAATGTTATAAAAAGATTGCATCATTTTTTAATTCCACTCTCAGTTTTTAATAATTTTTAAATATTCGTAAATTTCTTTATAAATTAACTTATTTCTCAAAATTATAATCTCCGTTTCTGGTTGTCATGATTCCACGGCACTACTACTACAATTTAGGTGCTTTCTTTTATAACGCAGTGCCGTGGATGTTTGCTATATGTATTGGACCGCTTGTAATTGTATTTTGATGGCGCGTTCCAGGGTTCAACGCTCCCCCCCAACGTGCGTTCACCTTGTCGTGGTGGGGGGGCTCAGTAGTAGTGGCGAAGCTAAGAAACGCACAGGGAGGTTGCCCACTTCGGTGGGCGGTGGGAGATGGCCCTCTTCGGGGGGCGGTGTACCTTGCGGGTTGCTCCTGGTACTTCTCTGATAGCAGAGTGGACCTTGGAGCAACCCCATGGTTGTGGTGGTCTGCTTTGGCAGACCTGCCGTCGGGGCGTCGTAGTTGAATGCGTAAGCGATCCTGCGACGCCCCATTGTGACGGGGGAAGGTTTTGTTGGGTTTTAGTGGGTAGTACTGGCTGTATTACGCCGGTGAGTCCCACACGTCGTGCGTAAATGCATTTCCCAACGTTAAAAAAAAAAAAAAAAAAGGGTTCAACGCTCGGGTTACCAATTCGGCCGGTATACCTTCAGGCCCTTTTGTTTTCAACTTTCAGCACCACGACGTGAATACTCTCCGCCGGGTTTGGTTACCCATTTCTGCCGCATCCAGCCGTCAGCGGATTCCAGAGCGTAGCTACCGGGATCACCATCTTTACGGCGTGACGCAGGAGAGTACCTGAACCGACTTAACAAAGGAACTTGTATGGGTTAAGTGCTCGACCCCGCCCGTTAATATAATTTTTTATTTCTCTCCACCGGGTCGAGATTATTTCAATAAATTAAATTTATTTGCATGGAACTCGGTCTTTTCATTTCCGACCTTTGTAGACCGGGTTAACCGTGACACTACAAAGTGCACGACCTGGTGTCAGGTTGCATGTGCGGACGCTGCTCCGGTACCACTACTGGAAAAGCTCACTAAGGGAGTCGTAGAACTTAGCCGACAAGTCAAATCCCTCAACGAATGGTTCAAGAAGGTGCGCTCAAGACAGGGAGGCAGCCAGCGTAACAAAAGTCGTACTCGCTCACAGTCAAGTTACCGCAAGTACCCAAATGGCTTTTACCACAATAAGTATGGCGCTGTGTCAAATTTTGCAATTACCAGCAGGGAAAAGCCAACGGCGGTCTGTTATCATTGGAAAAATTACTATCTTTTTTAAAAAAGAATTTATTTATTAACACTAATTAATTTATAATATAATTAATGTAGGACAACTTAGACGTGAGAAATTCGGCAAGTGTTAATGGTTCCGCGATCAGATCCGAACTGAAATTGAACTTTACTATGGGATAAATCTATGGAGTTAAAGATGCTGATGAAGCACTTACTCATTATTAGTCCCTACAGTACAGGGATGTAACAGCCCCCCCGAAAAGAGGAAACTTACATTTTAATGCTAAGTTTCAGGCAATTATCCTGAGTCTTGGAACTGGTATTTCCTCTGTTTCCTGACTAGGTCCGATTGTTGCATCGGGATTTCTAATATCTTTTGATTTAAAGTTAAAACAATTGCCAAATTTCTGATAAATTTTAAAACATATAAAAATTAAAATGAAAACAATTATACAGTATGTAAGTATAGGATAATGTGAATCGTACTTGACAAGTGGATTAGGCTCATTTAATATTTTATCGATATCTGTCATAAATTGGTCATTTGCGACATTTGTAAGTTTTTCCAAATTTGCTTCAATTAATTTTATTGGTTTCAATTTTGGTTCTTGAGATTTAAATTTCATTTCATCACAGCAAGGGTCGTTAATTAAGTTAAAATCTGACGTTACAGGTTTTACAGTTATATTAAAGTTATTTCTACTTGAAAATTCTTTATTTCTGCAGAAGGCTTTACAGCTTGGCGGTAAATTCATTATGCCAGTACCTAATAATTTAAAATCTGATATTTGCCCTTGACATTCAACAGTGAGTTTAATAGGATCATGGGATAGGGATGTAACAGGTCGTTAATGGCGACAAGCGATTGCCCCAGTTCTTTCAGGGTGCCTATTCGTATCGGACCGAAAAACGAAGATGCAGTTCCTGGTCGACACTAGTAGCGACCTCTGTGTCTTCCCTCGTACGGCTTCGAAAACCAGACGACCGAAATCTTCATATGAACTCTTCGCGGCTAATGTATCATCGATCACAATCTATGGGTCCACTCTACTTGAACTTGACCTCGGTCTCCGCAGCATCTTCCTCGTGCAAGATTCCAGCACATTCATATTGGTTTGGTGGGCCCGCTTCCTCCATCAGATGGTTTTAAGTATTGCTTCATCGCATTCGATCGATATACCAGATCGCCTGAGGTAATACCCATAATCGACATTAACGCCGAGACTGTTGCTAAAGCCTTTGTCAGCAACTGGATCGCTCGATATGGAACTTCAACAGAGGTGGTGACAGATCGTGGAAAGCAGTTCGAATCGGCGCTGATGAAACAGCTTGCAGAACTCGCTGGATTCATTCGGAATGGAACCACCGCATACCATCCTGCAAGAAATGGCATGGTCGAGAGGATGCACAGGCAACTGAAAACGGCAATAAAATGTCTTTACCACTTTACCACTGGTGCTACTTGGTATGAGAACAGCTTTTTACCTGACATTCAAGCCTCACCCGCCGAGCTCCTATATAGCGAGACGCACAGATTGCCTGGAGAGTTTCTTCAGTCCAGCGCACATCAGCACACTACGGACATGACTGGCTTCACAGCGCGTCTGCGCTCTAGGATGAGTTCTCTTCGTCCCCAACCTGCATCTCGACACTGCGACAGAGGCGCCTGCGTCTTCATGGACTTACCTTCAGCAAACCATGTTTACGTCATAGATGACAGAATAAAGGGCCTATTACAAGCGGCTTATTCAGACCCATATAAAGTTTTACAAACAGGGGAGACAAGGTATATAAATTATGCATAAAAACTAAAGAGCAGACTATTACGATTGAACGCCTAAAACCAGCGTATCAATAATACTTTCTTAGATTCGTTACATCTAAAGTTGTGTAACTCATACAAGAGTCACCTCAAATGTACCATCCAAAGTGACAGAACGTCCCATCACCTCAAAAATACATTTTGTCACACTTCAAAAATTGAGGCATGAATGATGATGAATGCTTGAGAACGTGATCTCGGTATTTGAAGCGCGCGAGCGTTTCCGTCGTCTCGCTTACTTGTTCTGCGTGTGAGTGAGCGGGAAACAGTGCGTGACAAACGCCTCAAATGAGTGAATGAGACAATCAAATGAAGCTAAAGGTTTTTACAAATTTTACGTGAATATTCGTTAACTTTCGGTTGTTTTAATTTGAATTGAATGACGCCGACGCGCGACGGACGAAATTCTAACTGTTGCGCTGCTGCGATTTGTGAAATTGAATATTTAATAGTAAAAGAGTTGTACGTCGAATCTTCATTGTAATAAGTATTGCATATTTGGATAACAAAAAGGTATGTATGGTTTAAAGGTTTTTATTTATATTTATACAGTTTTGGGTGGTTTGGTTTTGGCAATGCAACTAATTTGTTAGGCTTAGCTAAAGGCTGTATAAATATTTAAACCAAGCCAGGATGAAATGACTTTAAATTTTGATTTGTTTTGATTGATTTCAACTTCCTTTTTTTATACAAATTGCATGTTCTTAATTTGTAGGTAAGATTTTTTCTTTGTTTAAAATGTATAGGTACTTAGTTAAAGTTCCGTAATCCATAGTTACATGATACAATATGTGATTTTTACTTAACTTGTACTTATAACTTATGTGTAAACAAAATATTAATGGCACTAATTTGTTCATTTGAGTGCGTCTTGTTAAAATGGGGGTGTATTCATATTTAAAACCTGGATTCGTTTTTTGTTGGTGTTGGTGTGGTTTGCTATATGAATGTTTTTATTTTCTCTTATAGTATGGCTGATTCTGAAAAAAGAACATCAAAGGCATGGCTATATTTTACAGATTTAAAAAACAATAAGGCGAAATGTAACTTTTGCTCAAAAGTAATGTCATATAAAGGCGGTGGCCCATATAATTTAACTCGCCACACTAAGAGTCAACACCCAGGTGTTTTAGATTCTGTTTCCGTACCACCTACTGATGACTCTCCACCTACTGCTGTTGGATCAACTTCGGAAAACTTTACGGAAAATACAGAAAACTTTGACTTTTTTTATACAAATTGCATGTTCTTAATTTGTAGGTAAGATTTTTTCTTTGTTTAAAATGTATAGGTACTTAGTTAAAGTTCCGTAATCCATAGTTACATGATACAATATGTGATTTTTACTTAACTTGTACTTATAACTTATGTGGAAACAAAATATTAATGGCACTAATTTGTTCATTTGAGTGCGTCTTGTTAAAATGGGGGTGTATTCATATTTAAAACCTGGATTCGTTTTTTGTTGGTGTTGGTGTGGTTTGCTATATGCATGTTTTTATTTTCTCTTATAGTATGGCTGATTCTGAAAAAAGAACAATCAAAGGCATGGCTATATTTTACAGATTTAAAAAACAATAAGGCGAAATGTAACTTTTGCTCAAAAGTAATGTCATATAAAGGCGGTGGCCCATATAATTTAACTCGCCACACTAAGAGTCAACACCCAGGTGTTTTAGATTCTGTTTCCGTACCACCTACTGATGACTCTCCACCTACTGCTGTTGGATCAACTTCGGAAAACTTTACGGAAAATACAGAAAACTTTGACGTCGATTCCACTGGAACTAGACCATCAACAGTTGGAAATACTAATAAATGTAATAATAATAGTAGCCATAACAACCCAAAATTGACGCATTATTTCAGACATCTTCTAAAAAAACTGAACTTTTAAACAAATATTTAATAGAAACTATTTCCAAAAATTACTTACCGTTCCACATCGTAGAAAGTCAACCATTTAAAAAAATTATTAAAGAACTCAATCCTCACTATAGTTTACCTTGCCGCAAAACATTAACTAATGCTCTTTTGCGAAATTATTACAATATTGAAAAAGATAAAATTAAAAAACAATTAGAAAAAGCAGACTACGTAGCAATAACAACAGACGGGTGGACATCGAAACCAAATGAAAATTATATAGCACTAAGTGTACACTTCCTAGATAAAAATACCGAATTGCGGTCTCGTATGTTGGAATGCCGTAAGTATGCTGATCGCCATACAGCAGAAAAATGAGATTGTAAAAATGTGTGATGATTGGAAAATTACACAGAAAGTAGTAGCTGTAACCAGTGACAATGCAGCCAATATAAAGGCAGCAATAAGATTGACAAAGTGGAAACAAATATCCTGTTTTGCACACACTTTAAATCTTATAGTACAGACAGGCCTAAAAGAAATTAAATCCACACAATCAAAAGTGAAAGCGATTGTAGAACATTTTAAACGAAGTCCGCTAGCAACACAGCGACTTAATGCTATGCAGAAACAATTGGGCGGTAAAGAAATGAAATTAAAACAAGATGTGGCGACTCGTTGGAATTCTACGTATACGATGTTCCAAAGTATTATTGACACAAAGAATAGCCTGATGTCTATTATTGCTATTGAATATACAAACCTCGATAATATAAATAACGGCGACTTAGAGATATTAACAACTGCTTGTGTTTTTTTTTTTTCAATTATTGTCCTTTTTCAAAGACGTTACAGAAGAAATGAGCTCAGAAAAGAAAGTAACCATATCACAAGTTATTTTAATTTCCAATGCTCTAAAAAGAGAGTACTGTAAATTCCTAGCAAGGGAATCGCTTCCGGAAACAGTTCGACAAATGGCCCAGGTTTTATTCGATGAGCTATCCACGAGATTTTATAATATCGAGGAAAACAATATACTTGCCGAGAGCACGCTCTTAGATCCCAGATTTAAGAAACATGGTTTTGTAAATGACACTACATATGGGCGAGCATGTTCAAATTTAAAACAATTAGTTGCTTATGTCACTCTACAGCGTGACGTTGAAAATGATACCGATGCAGAAAAGGAAAGACAGCCACAATCCCCCAACAAGAAGACGCGTAGTATCTGGGATGAATTTGACTAAAAAGTAAGTGCAATTATTCAAAACAATAATCCTACTGCAGCAGGTATAATAGAAGTGGAAGTGGACAAGTACCTCCAAGAACCAATAGTACCAAGGAACAAAGATCCATTTAAATGGTGTCATGGAAAAAAAGGATATTACCCAAGACTATATGAAATAGTCAAAAAGCGAATGTGCATAAGTGCTACTTCTGTTCCCTCTGAACGTATTTTTTCAAAGTCTGGACAAATTATTTCCGAACGAAGAAACAGACTCAGCGGAAAAAATGTTGACATGTTATTATTTTTAAGTTACAATATGTAAACCCCTTTTTTCATTAAATAATTTTAACCATTTTATTGATCCTTGTCTTATTTTAATTAAACTTGGAGATATATATTTACCTTTCTTAAATACATAATATAGAAAAATTGTATATATTATATTTTCAACTCAGTAAATAGCTCAACTCACAAAGTACAAACTCATGTATCGTTTGTAATACTACCTAATGTCTCGGAATTTGCCAAACTCATGTGTTTGTGTAATGTTACACGACTAGCTCAACTCATGTGTCTGTAGAATGTCGCAAATAACAGCTCAACTCATGTTTGAAGTAATGTCAAAGTATATCTCAACACGTACTAAGGTCTCAGTGGTATGACATTGTCCCACCTCACAATTCGAAATGAGTTACTCATACAAACTCATTCAAATCGCGTGTCCTACCCAACTCTAGTTACATCTACATGTACAAAAAAATATAACAGACCACAAGATGTAGTTAGTTCATACTGCATACAAGGCTCAAAGACTACTGAACCTATAAGGCTTAAAAACCCCAAAGCAACCTCGTGGGTAGACTTCAAAAACTTGCTCGCTGAGGCAGCTAAGGATTTCCCATAATCAATCAAGACACCCGACTCCCTCAACATTTTAAACAACTTACTAACGGATGGCATCTTAAATGCCTATGAAAATAGTTGTCCTGTTAGGGAACTCAAGGTTAACATTAATACACCGTGGTGGAACAAAAAGCTAGAACGACTTAAGTGTCTCACATCACACACATCGCTTATTTAATCATGGCACTAAACCGTATGGGTGGGAACGGTATAAGAAGGCTCTGACTAAATACCATAAAGAGATCAGAAAAGCTAAAAGAGCATCTTGGAAACGATTCTGCGAGAACATCGCCCAAACACATAAAGGAGCAAGAATCCACAAGGTCTTAGCCAAGACACCAAATATTTTTCTCGGCTTCTCAAAAAAGCGAGACAACTCCTTCACGACCCAGAGATGAAAAGTATTTTAAGAAATTAATTAATAGAATGCCTAGCATATGCGAGAAGATAATAAAAGAAAAAGGTGGATACTTCGATGAAGCTAAAATTTAATTTAATTTTCATATAGTATGTTAAATATTTATGTTATTTAAGTCACTTTTTGTCTAATTATATCCCTTTCTTTTGTTTTATTTGATTTTACTTTGTTGTTGTATATATATGATAATTACAGCATTTATATATATATATATATATATATATATATATATATATATATATATATATATATAAATGCTGTAATTATCAAAGATTAACATATAAAATCTTCCAAAAAATATTTAATGTACAGATTGACTGAGTTATAATTTTATTATAAGCAATTATCAAATTATGTTATTTTAGTTAGAAAATTTACATCACTTTTTTTCAGAGTAACTAAAACTATGCCCTATAAAAAAATAGAAAATGGCACATCTTTATTGACTGCAGTACCGAACGAGTGGGAAAACAATGGAATTTTATTTTGGTTGTAGCGGAGCTACCATTGTGTTTAAATGTTTCAATTTGTAATATATATGATGTTAATATACCTGTCTGTCCTATTTATCTATTTTAATAATTACGAGTAGTTTAATATATATCATGTAGCACGAAGGCAAACGGACGAGCGTCATTAGCGATGACGTAATCGATCGGCCAACCGGTTCAATAACCTACGCGCGCACCGGCCCCCGAGTGGCGCGGGCGCGGCATCTCGCAGTCTGCGTTGCCGATCTGGGGGGAATTCCCCTTTTTGGGGGGAATTTCACGTATGTGAGGGGCAAAAAAGGGTTATAAGAATAAAAGGGGAATTCAATACTCCAAATGCAATAAATATATAATTTATACTTGTATGTACATCTAATAAGGCTGGATGGGCTATGATTCTTTTGCCTGTCCCCTTAGTTGATAAAAAGAAACTAAAAAATAAGGTCTATGGCTAGACTTGTTGGCTGCGTCATGCGTCTTTACGTGTTGGTTAGTTTCGTTGCACAGAGATGGCACTGTGGCACAGAGTCAGACGTCAGTCAGTCAGAGTAAATATTGTTCTGTGGTCAGAGTGTTTATTTTTCTTGTAAAAAGTTTTGCTAAGTTACGATGGATAAATTCATCAGTAAACTAACCAAAAGATCTCGAGAAAAGGTATATATTTACTCACTATTATAAAATTATTTCGAAATTGATAAGTAGGCATTTCTAAAGTGTTTTTACTATTGTATAACTAGTTAAATCATTACTACAATACGAGACATTTTTGGGCATTTCATAGAATGAATAAGTTTAAACTGCACGTCTTTACTAATTCCTTGGGCCATTAACGTAGTGTTCTATCCTACTGACTAGACTATTTGGGGCTATTCACATTCCTAACCTCTAAATACCTAAATATGTAGTTCGAGTTTTTAAATTTGTTTTGCTTTTTTTCTCTTCATTTTGGCATCACGCTACTTGCGTATTTGTCACAGAGATATTTTATAATTTTAACGTAGCGAAAAGCGGAGAAACGTTTTTGTATTGTTTTTTTGCTTTCGATGTTTTTTCATAATCAATGTTGCAACAGTATAACTATTTTCCCTATTGTCGGGTATTTCTGAAAGCCTAAACGCAATATTTTGTGCATATCAAGACTAACGATATTTTAAATTATATCCATTTTTAGGAGATAGCCAGTGCCATAGATGACGGAAATTCACCAAGTACTTCCAGTTCTGTTCAAGAAGTGGCAAACAACTCTGAGCAAATTCCTTCTACATCTGCACAGATGACATCAAGCACTCGTGAAGAACCTATCGAAAAAAAGAAACGATTTAATAAATTTCTAGATTCTTGGACTACTCGGCCTGAATTCAAGGGATGGTTAACGAAACACAATGAAATTAGAGATGGTCACGAACTAGCATTTTGCAGAATTTGTAATATGACTGTAATCGCACACAAAAGTGACTTAATACGCCACCTGAATTCAAAAAAACATCTTCGAATTTCTAAACAAGTATCGGGATCAAAAAAAATTGACGATTTAGTGCGGGAATCATCTGTAGACGTTAAAGTACGTCGTGCAGAATTAAAGCTTTGTGCAATGCTTGCTACAAATAACTTACCGTTCTCGTTGATGGACACTGTTATCCCTTTAGCTAAAGACATTTTCACAGACTCTGAGATCGTAAGCAAATTGGCAGTACGACGAACTAAAGCCTCTCATTGTATAAAAAATGCTTTAGGCAACAACTTGGCTAATATTGTGTTTGATGCACTTAGAGTTCCTGGCGCTTTCTTCTCCATAATTATGGATGAAACTACAGACTGTAGTACTATTAAACAGCTTGCGTTCACAGTTATTTATTTTAATGTTGAAAGTAACAAAGTTGAGACCCATTTTTTTGATATGATCGAGGTCAAATCCGGAGATGCCATATCTTTAGTGAAGTATTTAACAAATGTGATAGAATCAAAACAAATACCATTATCGAATCTCATAGGCTTCTGTTCAGATACTACGAACGTAATGATTGGAGAGCACAACTCAGTGTTTTCTCATTTGAAAGCCGCATTACCTAGCATAGCGTGCATCAAATGTTCCTGCCATTTAATACATTTAGCAGCATCTAAAGCATGCTTAAAACTCCCACGATCTGTCGAAGATCTTATAAGAAACTTGGGGTCGCACTTCAGCCGCAGCTCTTTTAGACAAGAAAAATTCGCAGAGTTTCAAGCTTTTTTTCAATGTGATTTACACAAAATTTTGAACGTAGCTACAACACGCTGGCTGTCTGTGAAAAACTGCGTAGATCGTGTGTTACAACAGTATACTCCCCTGAGAGAATATTTAAGACTAGCTGTTTTCGAGGATCCCTCTAAAACAACCGAAGAAATGGTGGCTACAATGGATAATGAGTTCACGGTTATTTATTTAGAATTCATGTCTTATACTTTAGGTTTGCTGACTCAATTCAATTTATTGTTTCAGTCAGAAACACCACTGCTATATAAAATGAAATCTTCAGTCGAAAATCTGTTGAAAACTGTGTGTAGCAATTACATCACATTTTCTTATGTGAAGTCTTGTACTGATATAATGAAAATTGAGTTTGATGATGAATCCAAATATGACAGATTGGACAGAGTGTATCTAGGTGTATTAGCTACCGAAAGCTTACAAAAGTTAAAAAATAACTCACAGGTTCCTGAAACTGATGTCAATATGTTTTTGATAACTTGTCGCAGCTTTTATGTGGAGTTGGCTAAACAAATCCTACAGAGGTTTGACTTTAAGGACAGTCTTTTTAATTTTATTGACTTGGTAAATCCTTCTGTTGCTCAAAGTTTCACTTTTAAATCTTTGAAGCCAATCTTTGTAAGATTTCCAGTATTGTACGATTATTACAACATGCAAGAAGTTGACGATGAATGGCGAGAACATGCTCTACTTGATCATGAAAGCTACGACTTGCATCCTTCAGATGGTGCTGAGGAGTATTGGCGTAAAGTTTTCCACTTAAAAAATGCCCTTGGTCAAAGTTTGTTTCCAAATTTAAAAGGCATTTTAAATGCCTTGTTAGTTTTACCTTTCTCGAATGCATCCGTGGAACGTGTATTTAGTTCTCTCAAAAATATTAAAAATGATCATAGAAATAAACTAAAAACAAGCACGATAGTTGCCCTAATGCAAACTAAAGACCAAATAAAAGATTGTGTAAAATTTGAGCCGACAATAAATATGCTCAAAGCGAACCTATACAAAAAGTGATGTATTTGTTTTAGTTTTTGGAATAAAGTTTTCATTAATAAAACATTTTTATTCTTTTTTTCCTACATCATGAACTTCGAGGGGAATTTTGCAATAAAAAGAGGAATTTTTCAACGTGACGCGGGGAATTTACAAAACTAACTGTGGCAACACTGCTCGCAGTTCGCTTCCGACCGCTAACTACGCCCGACGTTTACCGCTCTGTATCAGTATAGCCCAGTCATATTAGGGCTTTCACCTCGGAATGAAAGATAATAAGCTGCAAATTGGTATGAACCTTTGTTTTGTCATTCTAAATGTTGTCTCAAAAGTCACAATCGTTATCGTGTCCGCGTCTTAAGATATTCAAGGTCAAAGGTCACAAAAATCGGTTTTTCGCGAATATCTGGCTTCCTATCGGTTGAATGAGATTTGCATTTATTATAAAAGTTGTAGGCTATAAAATTCCCTACAACTTTTGTTTAAACTTTTTTTTCATACGACCAACCGTTTTGAAGGTAGAGCGCGAAGTGCACATCGTACAGTCATATACGGCCTAATGCAAGGTCAAGCGTGAGTTATGGTTATCAGTACGTTATAAAGTCAATTATTTACTTGGAAATTATAATTATTAAACAATGCCTATTATTTATGTACTAACTATTAATTATTTATATTTAATTAAAGTAAGTAACTTGATTATTTATATATAATTATTCATATTTAACTATTTAAGTATAAAATATTATTAATTCTGGATTATATATTTTAGTTTTATTTTAAGTTAAAATGATAGTAAGAGTATATATTTTACACATATTTTTATTTATTATTAAATACGGCATAATATACATTTATCAAAATGTGAGTTCATATATCAAAAGTATCTTTGTTGATTTTAATTGTAATGAAATTGGAAATGGAAGCTAATTATCTTCTTCTTCTTCGTCTTCTTCTTCTTCTTGTCGCTCAAAAATGTTCGATTCATTGTCATCATCCTCATTATCTGTCATGTTCATCTCCAAACCTTCCAGAATATCGGGATCATATCTATTTTCTTCATCGGGATTACTTGGATACAGTGAAGCGTTGAGGCAAGCTTGTCCGTTGCACTGGCCGCAAGCTAAAGAACATTGTAGCCCTGATTTTCTGCATCCACAGCGGGAACCACAACCATTTTTGCAATTGCAAAATATTACGTTTAGTAGTTCGGCTGGTGCTGGAGGTAATAACGTTCGTATGGGCTCCAGGATTTCATTTTCAAGCATCCAGCCCCATTCTTGAGGTTCTAAGTCCTTCCCTAACCACGTTTGAATCTGGTAGTAGACACGTTTTATGTGTTGATGAGCTGCTACACTTGTTGGTGGAAGTGTTGACAGTTGTACAGGTTTATTTAGTTTTGTAAATTTGATGAATTGCGTGTAGCGGAAATGATCAATGTTGTCCTCAGATTTTGGAGCATTATATAATGCCAACAAGATGCGCACTCCATTTTCTAATAATGTTTGTTTTGGGCAGTTTTCTTGTTGAAATACTTCCACCAGTTTATCTAAATCAGGAATTTTTTCCAATGCTCTAGTAACAGTTTTTTTTCCTTTTTTAAATAGCGCAGAAGTCGTGTCACAGCCACTGAATGCGTGTAAAAATAAAATGTGCTTTTTAGTACGAGGATATTGGTCAAAACTTTTAGTAGAATATATTTGTGTTTTGACATTGCCTTTGCCAACTTTTTTCAAAAAAAATTCCTGATGATGTGACTGAGTACGTCCAATTAAAATAACGAGCAAATCGATATCTTCTCCTATGATGACAGCAGTTTTTTTATGTTCTGATAAGGCAATAGCTGTGTCAATGATGAGAACATCAGCATCATCTCTGGCTTGTTTTGTTGTGATATTAACAGTTTTAAATTTTTCAACAAGCATGTCGATAAATTTTTTTTTATTAGACCGATTTGATAAAAATTTTTCTTGACTGATTGGCACAACCATTGTTTCGTCAAAACAAACTTCATATGATTTTGAAAGTGCAGCAGTTCTTCTTCGTTGTTCCAGTGCTTTAATATTTTTACTATAGTCTGAATATCCGTCAAATACAACAACAATTGCTGAGCCATAATGTGTTTGTAAATATTTAATGTACTTATTTAAAATAATAGAGAAAGTATCGTCTTTGCTCCATACGACGCGATGCAGAAGAAATCCACCATCGATGATGTATGTTACATTATTTTCATCAAGATCGATAACGACAGGCATCATATTGTCATATAACGTTGCTTTCGTGGTTTTTCTCATGCCATTACTATCAAATAAAGATGTCGGATACGGGCTTAGTTCATACTGAAGATATTCTTGTAAATTACTTTCAAATTTTTTGCTTACAGTTATTCTCTGGAAAAGTAACATTGGATCTATAGAAACTTTACAATCATTAATTTTGACAGATTTGTTAATGGCTGAAAGCGGTAAAACCTTATCGACGCGTTTTAACTTTATTTCGTTGAAGTTCAAACCAGTTATCTTTAGTGATGTGCCGGATATCCGTATCCGTATCCGTATCCGCGGATATCCGAAGCAGAAGAAAGATCCGTATCCGTGTCCGTATCCGTTACTTTTTGGCGGATCTTTTACGGATCTATTTACCTCATTAATTTTAAATTTATATATAAAATTCTTAACAGCGAAGGGTAAAGCGCACTAGCGACGTCAATTGCCGAGATTCTGACGATCCATAATTATTTAAAATAGATTCGGTTTAGCTACTTAGCAATTTTAAGCAATTGGCGTCGCTAGTGCGCCTTACTCTTCGCCTTAAATAGGTCATTAGGTAGAAATAAAAAACTATTAAATTTAGTACAGATATTTTTTTATTTTTTAAAATCAAATATTTGGCTCCTTTATGTTGCAAACTTTGCCGTAGCTAGTTATCATCTAATAGTATATAACTCCAAGGTGCTAAATCAACTAGCTTTTTAATGAGATCAATATTATAAAAAGTTATAAGGTCAGTTTTTATTAAGAAAACAAAACTTAGCTCTTCGTAATATTTTAAATTCAAATTAAATTATTTTTTAATCAAGTAAACTAGTACTACGTGACACATAGGTACAGTGTTAATGTTAAATTAAAATCACAATGACAATTAAAGGAACTTAAGAAAATTATAAGTCATAATTAAAATTAAGTAATGGTATATTATATTTCAAAAAGAGTAACTTGGCAGCTTTGTCCCCCAAAAGCCTGTTACGATGAGGATCATAAACAATTCCTGCTGCACTGAAAACTTGCTCACTTGGAATACTTGTTGCAGGTGATGATAAATATGTACGAGCAATGTGACTAAGACTTCCAAACTTTTTACTGTTAATTTGCCAATACTTTAGTTGGTCTTGATCTCTTGGTAATCTTTTTTCTGACATATATTCGATGAGCAAATTAGCTTTCGTATCTGATATTTGATTTTCAGATTGCTCATGTCATCATCACTATCTAACATATTAGCAATAGACTCTTCTAGGCTCGTGCAATGTTCTTTTCTAACAGTAATTGGTTTGTTTTCAGTACTGATTGTAGTTGCTGTAAGATTTACTTCAGTTTCTAAAACTCTAAGCAATTTTTCTTATATTTCTTTTATGAGAATCTCACTGAAGAATTTCCCTTTGTAGTGTGGGTCTAAAAATGTGGCTACTTGATACAAAACATTTTTATCAATTTCAGAAAAACGATACTCTAATTCATTCTTCAAAGCAGACACAAAGGTCACAACTGCGGATACACTAATGTCACTAATATGCATATTTTTCTCGTCATAGATTTTATTCAATGCTCGTACTAGAGGAATAACGTCAGATATACACGTGTTTTGTGAGCTTAATTTTTTTGTAGTGTCTTCCAAAGGCTTCAGCACTTTTATTAATTCTTGAATTAAAATCCAGTCATCGGCATCAAATTGTTCTATTTTATTATTAGAAGAATAAAGCGACAACGACTCCTTGATGCAATCAAGTCTTTCCAACATATAATAGCTGGAATTCCAGCGTGTTGGTGAGTCTTGCAAAACTTTTAGAACTTTTTGATTGAGTCGAACTTGTATTTTTTCTAATTCTTGCTTTGCCATCGTGGAATGATTGAAATGTCCAGCAATTTTCCTACATTTTGTAAGTAATATGGAAATTTCATTAACTTTTTGTATTGCATTTTTAACCACCAAATGTAACTGATGTGCTGTACAGTCGATACTATGTACTTCAGATAAATAACAGGCGCGCTTCATATTGGATCCCCCATCTCTTACCATACAGTGCACATTTTGTTTCAAAATTCCCCATTCTTCTAACATACTTTGAAATATTTCCGAAATATAATCTCCCGTGTGACGTTCTTCAAGAACTTCCGCTTTCAAAACGATATGTTTTCGTTGAAAATCTTTAGTAATACCATGACATGTTAAGGATAACAATGAAACTCCTGATGAAGAGTCAGACCAGATATCTGACGTGAAGGAAACTTTTTCAAAATCTTGTAACATGTCTTTTATTTTTAATGACACTTTATCGTACAGCTCACTACAAACAAGGTCCGTAAAATACTTTCTACCTTTTAAAACATAATTTGGAACAATATGGTCCATCAATCGGCGGAACCCTAATTCTTCTACGTGTTGAAAAGGTAGATCTGATAAAGCTAACATTTCAGCAATCAAATAGTCTATTTTTATAGATTTGTGGTTTGTATTATCCCACATTTTAGCTTTTTCCATGTATTCTTTAAAAAAAGTTTGTTTAAATTCTCTTTTTACCGTTTGTGAAGATGTTCCCGGCCGTGATATTTCGTCGATACTCTTCTTAGCAGAGTCTTCTTTAAAGAATAATTTATATTCTTGAGGATGTTTTCTTTGTAAATGATTTTTTAAGGAAGTTGTGCCTTTACCCTTACGAGAATACTTTCCATCACAAATTTTACACTTTGCACATTCATCATTTATTATCACAAAATAATTCCAAATTACACTACTAAACTTCTTTGTAGACATTTTTTTAAAATCATGTACCACCAATACCAAACACAAGCGTTATCTATGCTGCCCAGTGTCACATTAAACTAAAACAAAACAAAAGAAAGATGCAAGCCGCCGCGCAATACAAGTCGAAACGTGTCTCAACCTCAAGTTGTCAACTCAAGATCGCGCGCAACGACAAAGTAATTAATAAATAAAAAAGTTAAGATCCGTATCCGTATCCGTATCTGCGGATCTTGACACCAAATATCCGTATTCAGATCCGTATCCGCGGATCTACATTTTTAACGATCCGGCACATCACTAAGATAACTTATCTTTACCATAGATTGCAATCCGATTTCATGGGCTCGGTGACAATTAATTTGGTCATTTCCAACGATTCCTGAAGCTAAGGATACCAACTGATTCGTATTTGGAAAGGGATTATGAAGCGTAAACCAACCAACCAGTTCATTTACATCAGTATCATCCCTTTTTATTCGTGAATCTCTAGCATCAACATGTTGGTCCACAGAATCTAAAGAAATGTTACAAAACCGTTCAATTTCTTCACAAATTGTATTCGTGGCATACATAGCATATACCCACTTACATAGAACACTTTCTTGTGTACTTCGGCCTCGAGATACTCCTCCTTCTGTCTTCATAGATTTCATCAGACTTTGCTCGATTACCATGTCTGTCCATGTACCAGAATTGAATTTTTCTGTTCGTTTTACAGTAAAGAATCCGTTTTTAAAGTTCTCAAAAGCCTGTTGATCCATTGTCTCCTCAAGTTTTAACATATCTTGAAGATACAAATGAGCTGATTTCGCATATAGGAAATGACCACCAGCATGAAAATAGGGCAGCATTTTTCGCACTGCATCCAAATGTTCTTGAAAAAGTCCCAGCCTTTCAGCGCGAATGAAATCTAGGGCTATTGATACCATTTCAAAATATTGCACCCATAACTGTGCCGTGGGACCTCGAGCTTTTAATTCTTTTAGTTTATCCTGAAATTGATCAATTAACGAGTTGGAGCTGCTCGTACATCCTTCAACATCTTCGTAGGAAACATCGCGACTAGTTATCTGTTCAATTAACTCATCTAACACACAATTTTCAATTTTCATCTCTTCAAAAATCTTTATTGATAATGCAAGTCGTAATAATATATGGCCTCTGATACTTCTTGCATAAGCGTGACCATTCAACATTTTGTCGACCGAATTTGTAGCATATATTTTACTTAAAGCTTCCTTGAGACCACTACCGTCCATTACATGTCCTATGCATCCAAGAAAAGACATGAGCATATGAAATCCTCCAAGTTTGACAACTGTTTTAGACAAGTCTGAGTTTGCATCTGACGCAGCAACCATTTCACGTGCTTTTGAGTACAGGGGCTGATCAAATGTAATTATGCACGTTTTTTGTTGATGTGACTTGGCAATATTTATAGCACTATGTAAAGTTGTATAAATTGTGTCTAAATTACTGGCAGGATGATCAATGAAAGGTAGAAATATAACCTGAGAAGTTGAAAAATTTTGATTATTTTTCGTAAGTTGTTGAAGATAGCCATTCCACCCTGGCAACGGTGAAAGATTCTTCCATTTTCCGTATAACCACAACAAATCAACTGCATTAAATTTTTTTTCAATCAGTACTTGATCATCATGTAGATTTTGGACTTGAATCTTGCTGTACCCAGGTACAACTGGCTTTTCATATGCTAAAAGAGATACATGTGATATTGCTGCTAACTCTTTTGCACTCGGTTTAGTTGTACATTTTTTTATGCGATCATCATAAATTACAGCATCTTTCGGAGTAATTATTTTTATCATTCCCATAACGTGAAGAGTATTATTACCGTCAAGAGTACTGACATTAATATCTGCATTGTCTCCAACATATTGTACCAACGCACCAGACTCTGATGGTAAAATACGAGGTTGTGGATGGTAAACTGATGAAACTTCATACTGTATGGTATTACTATATGATGCAGCAAATCCTAAAGATGATAAAACATCTAACAATTTTTTAGACCCATATCTTCTGTGAAGAAATACGGAAAGGCCCAACAGTAGCTGTGATGAAAATGAACGTTCTCGTATCGAAGCCATTATTGCGTGGCTAATAGATGTGCATTTCGTTTTTAAATGATCTACTTGTCCTTTTCTATTTTTTAATATCATTTCTTCCAAAAAATGTGATAATGTTTTTGGTATTTCTTCATTAATACAATCTAGCATTTTATTCGGAGGTGGATACGTTTTTGTTTCAACTACAGATGATCTGATGTCTTCCCTAATAATAGCCGCAGCAGCTTCTACAATCCGTAGACGTTCTTCTACAGGAGTACTTTTTTTATTTTCGTACCAAGCTTTTGATAATACGTTAAGCTGTGTATCACGGAAAGATATAATTGTAAATGATCCAATTTTTTTTGTGATTATTATATCAGTTAAATACTTTTGTTGTAATTTTGTAATAATTGTCTTATCGTCAGGTATGTATTCCGTAGGGGCATCTTTAAGTTCTTTCAAAGTAAATTGAGAATCTTCATTATTTTCTATATAATAAAAAATCTCCTTCATTGCTTGAGTGACTTGATCATCTTGGCGAGGCTTTTTATCTGCAGATGGTACTCGGGTTAAAAAGTTGGTATAGCAAATAGTATGATACTTTGCTTCAGCAGCGATCAAATCATACTCGTAATATATACGTTCCTTTACTAATTCTCCTAAGGAATCGTTTCGTTCTTCTGCTCTCTTAATTACGTTGTCTTTGAATGCAAGAGTACTTACATTACTTATTGTCCGTCTATACTTTAATTTTTTTTTCTTTTCTGCTATTTCATCAGCTTCTTGGCCACAAAATAAGCATAACTTTCCAAAATCAAAGACTTCATTTCGTTTTTTACGAGGTGCACTTGACGTTGAAGGTTCACTCTCATCTGTGCGTCGTTTTGATGCAATAATAACATTTTTACTCGTGTACACTTTTCGACACTCGGAATGCACATTTACAGAACTTAAAGTATTTAAATAGTCTATATGTCCATCATTTCTTTCAATACTTGCAGTTTTTAAAGTTTGTAAACCACGTACGACATTCACAGAAACACCTTCTGAAAGTTTCTTATCACATATAAAACACAAATCAGCCATAGCTCTTAAAACCGTACGTCCGTAGTTGCAACGGTACAATTTCAAACTAACGAATAATCTTGACTCATACAAAGTGGAGAGAGTGGCCTTGAATACTATAGAACATCTGTCCCGGCAATGAATAGAAAAGGGCATAGGGTAGGGACAAGTATTTCCAGGTATATAAGTATTGAGAAATTTACGCGTTTTAAAGAAAAGATATATAATGTCGTGTTAACTTAAAATAAAACTAAAATATATAATCCAGAATTAATAATATTTTATACTTAAATAGTTAAATATGAATAAATATATATAAATAATCAAGTTACTTACTTTAATTAAATATAAATAATTAATAGTTAGTACATAAATAATAGGCATTGTTTAATAATTATAATTTCCAAGTAAATAATTGACTTTATAACGTACTGATAACCATAACTCACGCTTGACCTTGCATTAGGCCGTATATGACTGTACGATGTGCACTTCGCGCTCTACCTTCAAAACGGTTGGTCGTATGAAAAAAAAGTTTAAACAAAAGTTGTAGGGAATTTTATAGCCTACAACTTTTATAATAAATGCAAATCTCATTCAACCGATAGGAAGCCAGATATTCGCGAAAAACCGATTTTTGTGACCTTTGACCTTGAATATCTTAAGACGCGGACACGATAACGATTGTGACTTTTGAGACAACATTTAGAATGACAAAACAAAGGTTCATACCAATTTGCAGCTTATTATCTTTCATTCCGAGGTTGACCCCTTTTTTTACCTAATATGACTGGGCTAGTATTGCTTACTTCTATTACGTGTCCTATCTAAACTTTATAACTTCTAATTTATCTCCTTCTGTATTTCTTGTGTGTGCCGTATTAAACTTCTTTGTGTAACCCGGAATTTCTTTTCTCTCTAACGACTACGCTACGCCCATGGACTTTGATTCGCTTATTGCTAGGCACATAGACTATATTGTAGTGGCGATATAATATCACCATCTCATTATACCTAAATGGTCATACAAAACGAGAAAAATTATGGAGCATAGAATCTTTTAAACCAGAACTAAATTTGCGGTCGATAAATAAATGCATTCTTAAAAGATCAAACTAACCAAGTCTTACACAGGCTGAAATTGATAATATATCCAACGCTTCCGATACCGAGACTCCCAATGATAATAACCACGTTCCTATAATTATATCAAAAAGAAAATATATCTCAAATTCAACAAAACTTTAATGATATATAGCAAGAGAATGTTGTATGGTGAGTACTTTAGAAATATGTATGTACCTATATGGAACAAAAGAATAACATTTTGATATATAGATTATTAAAGAAATAGTCGGCAAAACTGGAACTGAGGATTATCCTCGTAAAATTGAACAACTTTTTAATTTTCCAAAGGAACATGTGCGATGGGTGGGTGGGTGGTTAAATGAAAAAAATATATCGACCTTCCCTTCTAATCAAGTTAGCTGATCTGATATGTTGAATATAATATACAGCTTTAGAAATCATTGATCTTGAAATTAAATTGAGGTTTTTTTTAATATAATCTCAAGAAATTGTGTGCAGTAAAGGCAAAAACAGTGCACATTGCATTGTTTATCGACAAGCTTGGGCTTCCAAAACATTGCCACAGAAATTACGTGAGACTTGGGACTGAGCCATAAAGATCGTAAACTACCGCAAGGACAGTCGAATTGAAAGAGGATGAAGGGGGTTGCTCCTTTCTTGAGTTCAATGAAAATTATGATTATTTGTGTATGTTCAACGATGAAAAATTTCAATGGTTGTTGGCCAATTTGACTGATATATTTAAAATTAGAATACCCTTGGCAAGTGTATCTCCTATTGAAGTAAAGTAAGAATTAACCGTTGTAACGGACTCGGAGGGGGAATCGTTAATATTGAGAAGCTCCTCGGAAGATACCTTATTCTGGTTAATGTTGCATACTACTATCGATACAGAGGCTGAATCTATAGTTTTTAGAATTTTTGTCTGTTACCGCATCACAAAAAAACCACTGGAGAGATTTTGATGAAATTTGGTATGGTGATAGCTGGTTATCCGGGTCAACGTATACCTCCACTAGCCCCTTACAGTTTCCTTCCCGAAGTTAAATTTTTTCACAAATTCTACCCCGGGAATATCCTGAAAGAGGTATTTATTGCTCCTTCAACAAGCGGCAGGCTCGACGGCTGTTTCTTCGTTTCGAACGCTGGCATTCTTGAGCGTCAACCGCGTTCGCCAATTTCAAAATTTTCCACCTTGAACTTATTCTGAACATTTTACTTAGGTTCACACACTTCCACTTCATAATTTAAGAATATTGGCTTAGGTGATCCAAATACCAAACTAACACAGCTTTTATGCAATGACTGCACAATGGCGCATTAGTGATAGTTCAGTGGCGTGCCAGTGGTCATTAGAACTGTCAAAATATTAACAGACTACGCAATACATTCGATCATTGACTTGTCATTATATACGGGACTACCAATTATTTGCAAATGTGTCATTGGAGTGTCAGTGACACACTATCGGAAAACCATTGAATTCCTTCTCAGTGTAATTTCTTCCATTCATCATCAATTCTTGTGACATATATTGTCACACGGAAGAAACAATGTGTGTGTGACAATATAAGTGTGTTTAATGTGTTCTTTCCCTTCTTTAATTTATTTCTGCATAACTTTGTCTAACTTCTCATATAATATAGATTAAACTCATTCTATAAAATCATTATCATATTCTACGTCACTTCCAAAATTATTATTTTATAAGTAAGACACTATATGCATAACTATCTTCGAGATTTTTTATATATCGGCATCAAACAGGCCGCAGGCATTTTACATTACACCAGTTATAGCACATAGCTACAGGTGGATCGCTGACCTAACAGGAACGATTGCGACACGAGGCGTCGAATTAGCATTCGCGGCATTGTAACGTTACAATTTTGTTTGTTTAATTTTACGTGAGAAATAAATTTATAAATTCCATTATTCTAATTGTTACATCGAGTAGCGTTAGACATAATAATCGTAAATTTAAATAAAGTTTATAATAAAAGTATTTTTAAGTAAATTTTGTTTTTTTTTTGAGTTCTCTGGCTGTGTTGCTCTTAACTGGCGCAGTCGGTAGGATACTCAAAAGAGACGATAAGTAATCTAACATCGACTACTGTCTCGGAGTATCAGGAAGAACCAAGAAGCAGCAGCCCGGGGTATATCCGAACATAGATATCAGAAAAAACTAAAATGCGCATGTAAGTAGTAAGTACATAGAATAGCCTGTGTCCTTATTTCCTTTCTATTTTATTGTTCTTCAGGATATTCCACCCCAGAAAATCGAACCCGAGGGGTACTGCATCAAGTAGGACCTCTCGTAGAAATAATTTAGATTTATGTAGAAATTTAAAATTTATTTCTGAAATAGATATAATGGCATCTCATGACTTAGAGACTATTTTTAAGGCAGTGCGCGCCGTTCCTGAATTCGGTGGGAACCCTAATATTTTATCCAGATTTATTAACATTTGTGACCAAATTGTAAGTCACTACATAGGAACTGAACCCGAGTCAGAACTATCAAACCTTACGTTAATTAACTCTGTCTTAAATAAAATAACGGGCTCCGCAGCACGATTTATATTTTCGAATTGCAAATCGGAAAATTGGTTAGGCATTAGGACAGCTTTGATAAATAATTTCTCAGACCAACGAGACGAGACCGCGCTTTATAGCGATCTTGCTCTCGCTACACAGGGTAATAGTACTCCACAAGAGTATTACGAGCGCTGTCAAACATTATCAGCACTATCATGACTTATGTAATGCTTCATGAAACTATTCCAACGACAATTGAAGCCAAACGAACTCTTTATAGGAAATTAACTATGCAAGCATACATACGCGGTTTAAAAGAGCCACTAGGCTCACGAATTCGTTGCATGCGTCCTGATAGTATTGAAAAGGCTTTGTAATTCGTGCAAGAAACATTGAATGCTGCTTATATGCAAAATAGAAACGAATCATTTGGTGAAAGAAAGCACGCGACACCTAAACCTATTCAGGCATTACCATATAAAAGGTTATCTACCTGACCCACCCTTATCAGTTAGCCGTCAAACGTCAACCGATACACATCTCCGTTATCAACAATCAAGAATTGTACCTGAAAATGGACACAACAAGCGATTTAGCAGCTCAAGCGATCACCCTATTGCGACAAGGTCAGAGTCAGCGTGAAGTGGCACGTGCACTGAACATGAGCCAGTCTGCTGTTTCCAGAGTTTACCTTCGTTACCAGGAGACTGGTGGCTTTAATCGAAGACGCGGTTCCGGTAGAAAAAGGTGCACATCAGAGAGAGATGACCGATTTATTGTCAGCACATCGTTAAGAAATCGGGCCCTCACTGGCGTTCAAGTCCAACAAGAGCTCAGAGAAACGCGACGAGTAGCTATGAGTGGCTGGACAGTCAGAAGACGACTTAAGGCAGCTAGGCTTGACCCAAAAAGGCCAGCTACTGGCCCCAAATTAACCCCAGACCACCGAGCAGCCCGCCTACGTTTTGCTAGAGAACATGTTGATTGGACTGACGAACAATGGAGCACCGTTCTCTTCTCAGACGAAAGTAGAGTGTGCTTGCATGGTAGTGATAGAAGAGGACGAGTCTACAGAAGACCTGGGGAAAGATTCGCGCAGTGCTGTATCAAAGAAAATGTTGCTTTTGGAGGAGGTTCTTGGATGGCGTGGGCCGGCATTTCAAGCGAGGCAAAAACCGAGTGTTGGTTTTTATTGAAACTGGCGGTCGAATGGGAGGATTGACAGCGATCTGATACATCGAAGAGATTTTAGAGGATCACGTCATTCCCTACGCCGGTTTCATTGGCGAAAACTTCGTCCTAATGCACGGCAATGCCCGTCCACATACTGCAAGTTCCGTCCGGCAGTATTTACAGGAGGTTGCAATTGCCGCTATGGACTGGCCAGCGCGTAGCCCGGACTTAAATCCTATAGAGCATTTGTGGGATGATCTTAAAAAAAAAGTTCGGGCTAGAAATCCTGCACCAGACACGATGGCGGACCTCAAAGCAGCGCTAATCGACGAATGGAATAGCATCGAACAAGATCGAGTAAGGAAACTTATTCGACCCATGAAAAAGCGATTGGAAGCTGTTATTAGGGCCAGGGGGGGCAACACTAAATATTAAAAAAATAATTTTAATTAAATTATTGTTTTGACGAATTTTACGTGGTATTTTCTTTACCGTCAACCATCACTTTTTTTATTGCTTAAGACTCCATCTCATTCAATATTTTTTCTTTACCAGAAAACATTTTTTAATAGCAACATAGACCACTCATTTTAAAGCTAAAACAAAGAACTTTGAGATGTTAAAATCAGAAATATAATAAAAGCTTCCGATTTTTTGCTAGAGCTTTTTAACCGCAAGCGTGCGTCCTGAGTCGATGTTTTTGCTCATGAGTGTAGTTGAAAAGCATATTGAACAGTACATTTTGAAACAAACAATTTAGACTATCAATACAAATAATACGGTTGTCTCTGCTGCCGTACTAGGAGACCTGTATTACGGCATACAGTGCCAATCCCCCAAAATATTGTCAGAATTAAATTATTTGTTTAGTTTGCGAGTGTGCCATTTTGAGTTGTTGGTTGGTGCTATATGTATATATGTATGTGTCTGTGATGGGTGTGTGTGTTAATGTGTGTGTGTGTGCGTGAGTGTGTGTGTGTGTGAGAGAGGGAGAGAGTTTGTTGTGAATGGGTAGTGATTATATGAAAAAAAAAATATTAAAAATTATTGTAACAATGAATGTCGCGTCCACAAGATAATAAAACGTATCCGAAGTCATCAGCCGTTTATATTTTAATAAGAAACACAACATGGTGTCAGAAGTGCCTTGGAAATAGAAGATGTCGAATACAGAAGAATTTGTAAACACGCAGCCGCGAATCAAAACACGTAAGTCCACTAAGTCAGACATGTTGCCGATGACAATTACATTAGCGCCGATCGACTTAAAGTCGAATAACTTGCCTTTAGCTTGGAAGAAGTGGCTTACTAAACTAAAAGTCTACCTAAGAGCCAACAATTTAGAAAACGAAACAGACAGTAGAAAGGTAGCGATTCTCCTTAATTTCATAGGGTCGGAGGCACTCGAGATCTACTATTCTTTTGGCCTAGACCTGGACGACTTGTCTTTCGATGATTTATGCAATAAATTTGACAATTATTTCACACCTAAGAATAAAATTACAGTCGAACGTCACAAACTTTTTAGTAGGAAACAGGCACCAAATGAGTCAATCGACACATATGTCACAGATATAAAGAACATCAGTCACTCTTGTGAGTTTGGAGCACTCAGGGAGGATTTATTAAAGGATATTTTCAGCTGGAACTGTAACAATCCATACTATAAAGAAAGAATTTTGATAGAGAAACCCAAGACGCTAGATGATGCTATAAATATAGCGTAATAAAATGCTATAAATATATAAAAGGTGTGAAGCAACCAAGCAGCAAACTAAAGCTTTGGAGGATGCATCACTACACTTTATAGGAAGAGTCTCAAGATTCCCATCCCGTCGTGAAGCAGCAATACCAAGGAGCACAACAAGGTACCAACGTTCAGCATCAAACACATCAAGTTCAAGGAACACATGTGATAGGTGTGGAGAAGTGCACAGGTACAAGTGTCCTGCAAAAGGTGTTCAGTGTCGAAAATGTAAAAAATTCAACCATTTTGCTCATTTCTGTAGGTCTCTAATAAAACGTGTCCAATGTGAAGAAACAAATATGTTAGAAAATAATAATAATAATTCTTTGTATGTCGGGTCTATTTTTGCATTCAAAATAATGAGTCAAAGCCATGGAATGTTGATATATTGATTAACCATGTGTCTTTGAATTAACAGATTTAAGGTGTAAAAAGAAAGGTTTAATTGCAGACACGTAATGATTTAATCGAGATCAATTTTACAGAGAGAGAAGGTCGGTAGAAGAAAAAATAATTAGCGGTAGAAAGTTAACACAGAATCAACATTGCCTTCAAATATGAAGAGGCGCTAAAAACTATTTGAATAGTAATATTAATATTACATAAATTTATAATTAATTATAATATAGATTTATAAACACCATGTTAATGTGAATTTTATCCTAGATACAGGTGCAGACACAAACATAATATCCATACACACATTTAACACACTAAACATGTCGCATGATACTTTCTGCAGAAGTCCCAATAAACTATCTACATTCAGTGGAGAGGTTATACCTCTAGTAGGTCAATGTCAGTTGCCAATTACATTCAAAAATAAATGTTATACAGTTAAATTTCATATAGTAGACATAAAATGCCAAAATATAATAGACAGAGACACATGTAGGTCATTAAATCTAGTCAAAAAAGTAAATAGTGTGTCCTTCCAGATAAACTGTCAAGACATAGTTAAGTCAAATGCAGACTCATTTGAAGGGCTAGGTTGTCTTGCAGATTTTTACTGTGAGTTAACCTTGAAACCCAATGCAACCCCGTTTATAGAGGCGTGCAGAAGGATACCACTCCAACTACAACAACCACTAAAGCAAGAGCTGGAAGCCATGGAGCAAAGTGGAGTTATTCAAAGAGTCGAAGAGCCTACGGAATGGGTAAGTGCACTAGTCTCAAGTTCAAAGAAGAATGGTAAATTACGTTTGTGTATTGACCCGAGAAAACTTAATCAGTCAATATTAAGATCTCATTTTCAATTTCCAACCCTAGATGAAATGAAATCAAGTCTTGCCGAAGCTCAATATTTCACAACATTAGATACCAATAAAGGTTATTGGATTTTAAAATTAACAGAAGCTTCTTCAAAGCTATATACATTTAGTACACCCTTTGGACGGTATAGGTTCACTAGATTACCTTTCGGTATCAATGCAGCTCCAGAGATATTTCACAGAGAAATGGTAAAAAGATTTGGTGATATTGATGGTGTCAAAATCATGATGGATGATTTTCTTATTTATGGTAGGACTATAGAAGAGCATAATGAACGGTTACAAAAAGTTTTACAAAGGGCACGTCAAATTAACTTAAGATTTAACAAAGAAAAATCAGTCTTTTGTCAAGAACAAGCAAAATATTTAGGTCATATATTCAGTAAGGCAGGAGTACAAGTCGATAAGTCAAAAGTAGAAGCTATTTGCAATTTGCAGAGTCCAAAGAATATTACAGAGTTACAAAGATTTCTTGGTATGGTCAACTATCTTGGTCCTTTTATATAAAATTTGTCACAGGAAATTAGTCATTTAAGAACTCTTTTGTCGAAAGATACTGGTATGGTGTTGGTCAGATCACCATGAAGCCCAATTTAATAACATTAAAAAGATAATTAGCTCTACGAGTATCAATAGAAGAACAATTGGCGTCACTGAGCTGATATGCGGTTTTACACCTGCGCTCACGAAGCGCGAAAAGTGGGTACACACAAATATCACTACCAGTGTCAATTAAATTTTGTATACCGGTGCTGCGGTCCTTGATGAACAGACAACCCGTGCTGGAACTGTGGCAGTTGTTGGTCGTCATTACCAACTGCCCTGAGCGTTTCCGGCCTTATAATCGCAAGGCTTAATGCACTTATGTGCCTTGCTTCCGTGTCTCGTGTGGTATCAGCAGATTGGGTACCTGCGATAGCTCGACTGGGAACGGGATGTTGAGCGCCTGCGTCGACGTTCATCTCTGCGACGTTCAGTCGGTCGCGAACGGCGTTGAGATTGCATAGTCAAAGCACTCACCTGCCTTGTCAGCTCTGATACCTGACGTGCTAGCTGATCAATCGGTGACATAGCTCCTGATGACGTTGTCGCGACCACTTCAACGTGGTACTTCGGCACCGCGATGTCGTGGACATGGCCGGCCAGGTCGGCGAGTGCGTCCAGGGGTAGCGTCGCCTGCGATGCAAGAATCGGCTGCATGAAAGTAGGCAGTCGGCTGGTCCAAATGGTTCTCACGAAATCCTCGGGTATCTCGGGTCCAGCAAGATGTTGTAGATGGCGCAGGAACTGTGATGGCTTACGAGTGCCGAGCTGCTCGTGCGTCAATAGCTGCTTAACCTTATTCTCACGAGATGCCGTTAATCGCTTGATAAGCTCGTCCTTTAATCGCTGGTAATCTGGGGGTCCGGTGAGAACATCCTCAACCTCGGCAGCGTACTGTCTGTTGAGTGTAGCCAAAATGTGGTAAAATTTTGTTTTGTCGTCGGTCACACGCATAATAGCAAAAATAAATTCAACCTGCGTGAACCATATCGCTGGTTTTTCAGGCCAAAATGTTGGTATCCTGATCTGCGGAGGTAGCTGCGGCCGTGAAGCACATTTAATCGGCGTCGCCATCTTGGCGCGCGGTCGACATGGATGCAAAGTAACATGACTCTGCGATTTTTCCGCCTCCGATCCGCTCGATCCCTGACTTGCTGAATACATGGACATTATTTTCCCTGGTGTTCTGTGCGGGGTCACCAGTTTGGAATTCCATCTGTATACCAGCTGTTACTATCAGGACTAAATACAACACCTTGTTCAAGTATTTCACTTGATCCTTTACATTAGTATGATAAGAATATTTTATTCCAGAACTATTTAAAGATTTTATATCATATAGTAAGGTGTTGTGTAATTTTCCATCACAGACAAAAATATGTGATTCCATATGAATTGATTTTGGAAATTTATAAATTCCTTTCTCACTTGATGAAGTTGCTGAAACTGTCGACATTAAATCATTAATATTGTTTTTAGTATCCCATACATGAACTTCAAGATTATTGCAATGATCTTCAGAGTTGTGTAATTTCTAATCTCTATCACAAGTTATTTTGAGAATTTATTCAGATGGTATCTTCCAAATTAATGTATCTTCTGGCCTATTTATTTGATACCCAATATTTTCCACATTATTTTTTATACAATATTTATGTATTGATTTAATAAATGAAACTGGATTCAAACAATATACTCTTCTCCAAAAGTCAGTGGCACAATGTATATGATCCGTAATAAAATTAAGTGTCATATTGTTTCCAACTTTTATATCACCTAATGAATTTGGAAGAGGATGATGAGAGTAAAGATTTGGATGACAAAACCATCCTTCACCTTTTATATTTTCAACATAAAACATTCCCTCCATACTAGGTAATTTTGGATGTTCATGAGAATCCAAATAACAACCAGGAGGAAGAATCACTTCACTATCAGCCTGCTCTTGAAATCCAATAGAATAAACTTCATGTTTGTCTTCATTTTTAAGGTTTAATGAAATTCCTATGATAAAGCAGCCATTACCAAATGCACAATAACCACGCATATTTTTGCAAGCAGTAAAAGCAAATTCATTTTCCTCAATGTTAAATTCTTCTCTCACCGCATTAGGCATTTCAGTAAAAGGAAGGATATCTTCTCTACAATTCATTTTTGTATTGCATCCAGATTGTTGACAATAATAAGTTTCATATTTATTCAAGTCCAATGCATATGTTGTGAATGAAGGTGCTGATCTTGCTTCCATAGATGAACTTGCAAACCTGATCTCCATGCAACCTATTTTAATAATTTCACTAGTAGATAATGAGATAGTATATTCATATTGATTACCAAAAATTGACTGTGTTTCGAATAAATCATAAGATTCAACATTTATTGGTTTGTGTGGTCCACTTCACTTTGTTTAAAACTCTTTTTGCGTTTGTAGAATTAGAAGGTTTTTCTCTGTAAGTGATTGCTCGTTTAAGAGAATCATAACCGATAAATTGTTCCATTTCAAGTCCATCCATTTTGAGTGAAGAATTAAATTTATCAGACCATTTATTCATTCTCACCATGAATAATACTACACTAATAGACATCAACCAAAACATTATTGATGCTGTCAACATGATTGTTATAAAAATTACTTCAAATTTTGTTGTTTGTTGTACTTTGCACCCACTTCTAAGATATCCATATTTTAAAGATTCTTCACAACTTGGAAGACTTAGTAATTGTTGACGACATTTTTCATTTTTTAGTAGAACTGATACAAATACAGATAATCCATTCACTTTCCTACAACTCATTTCTTCAGCAGAAATTGAAGTTAACACTATTAATTTTCCAGGACAATGTAATTATTGAATTTTTCCATCTTCTATTCTTGCTCCACAATACATACATACATATTCAAATCAAAACCCTATTGTTTTCAAAAATAAAAGAGGGGGTATTTTTGGGGTACCTGATGAAATAAGTTTAGGTCGCATTTTTTTGAACCATCATCATGTAAGAGGTGCAGATTCTGTAGCACTAGAAAAGAAGAAAAACGCTCAAAGTTCATGTGCAAAGTATGTAAGGTGACTCTGTGTATTCCCTTGCATGGAAAGAAATAAGCCCATGCATGGTTTCCTTTTTCCACGTCGTTGTGCCTAAACCAAATTAATATTAAAAACTAAGTTTTTAATTTTCACTAGCCATTGTAAATAGTTATGGCTATAACTTCGACGGATAAGAATCCACATATTAAGCAGTAATTTATTCATTTCCGTTTTACTCGCAATTCCCAAGTATTTTTTCTTATTGACATTTGAATCCTCAGTATTGCCATTTTCGTACGAGCGTATCGACTCACCAAAGTATAATCGATACATTTATATTTATTTTATTAAAATATCGAATTGGCAGTTCATAATAACATGTTAAATAATAAAGAAAATCAATTTTTATTTGATAATAATATGAGTTTATTTGATTAATCTATCTGAAAGTATCCTGTTTTAGTGTTTTGTCAATCATAATCGATCTACAACTGGTAACAATGCGACATTCACTTGAAAGAGGTCAAATAAGTCAAATGTGAAACTGTTTCATTTTACTGACGTACCTACTTTCGTGCTAATAAGTTCGTTTGTTATTGTGTCAGTGCTTTTTGTTGTTTTCTTTCTATTTTATTTATGTCGAGTTGAGCACGTCCTCCTAGGACTATAGAAATTGAAAATATATTTGAGACAGAGACTCTTTACTTTCGGTGTGTTTGTGAACCAAACCGATACCTACCCACGACAATGGATGTTACTCGCCGGTGTATCAATTGCTCTATGAGATTGGCGCACCAGCGCTGGCGCATGGTTGAAGATGCAACAGAGCCTATGGTGAATATTCTTCGTGCCTGGGTATCACCAACGCCGGTAAGTCAAAAGTATTAACATATTTTTATAACCTATTCAGCCTCGCAATTATTAAAAAACTCGTAGACTTTATGACTGAGGCAACTATTTCATTAGAAGAGGGAACTGAAACTATTAATTGGAGTTTACAAAGCCTTTATATTACAATATGGCGCATGCTTAGTCCTGTATTTATTTTGGACATAGTAAAAAACATTGATAATTATGATGGGCTCCAATCCATCCAATTAATGTCAGTGAGGTAAGTATTTAAATGTAATAAGCTTGGTAGCTAAAAATAAACTAAGTATTAAGAATATTAATTTCTTTGTAGGTTTCTTCTGATAATAGAATATGCTTGGAGTGCTTTGGAATGCTACAACAAGAACCCGATGGTGTACGAGCCCAATCACCCATGTCTGGACATAGAAATGTGTGCTTTGCTTGTGGTATATCTATTCTGCGGGCCCGCACTCATCTTGTACATCCAGACTGCCCAGAAAGGAATGTTATAATTAGTTGGACATTTCCTCATTTGGTACATATTATTTTTTGTGTATTTTTTTTACTATGATTACACAACAATAAACAAGCATACAGCCCACCTGATGGAAAGTAGTCACCATAGCCTATGGACACTTGCAACACCAGAGGCATCACAGACGCATTGCCGACCCCATAATAATCTTTTCACAGCCTTTTTAAACAACCTTGTTTAATGAAAAATGTACTCTTTATGATCAAAGCATACCTATACATATTAAGATAAGATTTTTAGAAAATATTAGTTGTTCTAGTGATTTTTATAAATATATTGCTTAATAACTAACAAATATTTTAATTTCAGGTTTCTCATCTGAATAGAGTTTGCACTGCATGGTGGCTTGCTGCTAGGAGAAATGTTCAAAAACAAATGCGGCAAGATGCCAATAGACCTATTGAAGCCTTCAATGAAGAAACTGATAACAGAGAACCACCACATATACCTGTGCCGCCTCTACTTCCACATATTTCGGTCCCACAACGCCAAGAAACTGCTAGAATAATATCACAAACTTATTCACGTGTTGCAGCAACCTCAAGACATTGTATATTTTCAGGATGTGAAAATGTTGAACGTTTATTGGTACCAACTGGAGTGAAGGAAATGTTATTATGTCGCTATAGATTATACATTCCATCTTCTGCTCGTGTATGCAGATACCATTTAGAAAATGATTGTTGGGAGCAGTTACAATCTAATATTAGGGATTTTACTGCATCAGAGATGGATCACATGCTGAATATGATGGAGTGAATTAATTTAAGAACGTTGGATTTCAAAAACATAAATATGTTGCCACCCAATTTCTGCCAGTATTGGCTTGGAGTTACAGCTGCTCAGTTCCATGAACTTTTAGCAGAAATGCCTAGTCTGCACAATGAAGTGCCTTCTGCAAGTGTGTCATTAAGTATTTATTTGGCCAAATTGCGTACCGGTGATAGCAATGAAAGGCTCAGTTCTTAATTTGAAATGCCCCGAAGCACATTAGAAAGAAATATGAATAAGGCAAGAAACTGCATGAGCCAACAGATGGTTCCTTTACATTTAGGCTTTAATCACATGACAGTGGAAGAAGTTGCAGCTAGGAATAAAACAATTCCAGAAGGACTGTTCGGGAATCCTAATCCTTCTTCAGAAATGAGACCCGCTATTGTAATATGTGATGCTACATATGTGTACGTACAAAGCAGTAGCAACTATTTATTCCAAAAAGAGTCCTACAGCTTACATAAACATCTTAATTTGGTGAAGCCGTTCATGATAGTTTGTTGTGATGGCCATATTCTTGATTATTTAGGTCCATATAAAGCGACAGTGAATGATGCTACCATTATGAGTAATGAATTTAGAAATAGTAATGGTGAAATGAGAAGATGTTTCCGAGAGGGGGATGTTTTTATTTTAGATAGAGGTTTCAGGGATGTAATACCTGAACTGATAGAATATGGCTATCATGCTCATATGCCTGAGTCTTTATCAGAAGGCGAGCATCAACTTGCGACACAACAAGCAAAAAAGTTGAGATGTGTAACGATGTGTAGGTGGGTGGTAGAAGTGGTCAATGGTCGTCACAAACGCGACTTCAAACTGTTTCGCCAAGAATTTTTTAATAAAGCTGCTAAGCATTTAATGATCGATTTTCGGAACGGTTGTGCCTTAACAAATAAATTGCACCCAGTTATTGAAGTCATACCAGAAGCAGCAGAATACTTGGCAATTGCGGTACGTAGGTTAAATATAGATAATGTTCTTGCTAATACTGTGTTCGCGCCACTCAGGCGCGACGATATGTTCCCTGATTTGCTTTCTCACTCTTACTCATTGATTCGGCGCGAGCGTCGCATTCGCGCCACCCGGAAAGAGTCACGCGTCGTCCTCAGTTCGAGAAAGGTCGTTAAATTGAAAATATGTGTTAAAGTAAAACCCTTCAGCTCATCTGCTCGTGTGTTAATTATTATAAGTATATTGCCGGCCGGCTTCTATTAAAGTGATGAACTATACAGACAATTGAACTAATTAAAGTGATAGTGAATACAGCGTATGATATAAAACTTTTGTTGCACGTGTACCTATACGTGCAAAGGTATATTCATATTCAGCCCAGGAGCGTGCCATCCTCTGGGACCGAGAGCCTTGGCTTAACCGCCCGGGCTGCGAGGAAGAAAACCTCTCTAAAAAATTACCCCAATCTCAAGCGGAGAAGCAGCGCGAGGGGATGCATGGCCGATGGGAAGATCGGTCCCTACTGCTTCCCCCGCAAGAGTACCAGCCGACACGCTTTGCGGGTTACGTGAAGGCTTATCCGGGTGCAGGGGGCACCGCCCGGATGGACGGGTTATTTCCCCCATACTCGTGGGATCAAATTATGAAACCTTTTAACACAAAAAACCCAATTCTTGACGTGGAGCCCGTGATGGGCGGAGAAATGATGGTGCCTGAGACTGGCGGCGTGGTGTTGGAGCCCGAGATGGGCGAAGTGTACAATTCTGATGGGTCTGCTGACTCATCATTAGACGTGTATGTGGGGCGAAAGAGGCCCCGTGCTGAGCCGCTTTTGGTGTCGTCCTCCGGGTCAGAGACTGAAACGGAGTCGACCGTAAACGCCAGGGCGGCAAAAGCGCCCAAAGGAAGGTCTCTTTCTAGTGCAGCGAGCAGTCTGTTAACTCGCGCACGGGCAAGATTGAAGAAGTTGGAGGAGGATGCCCGCGAAGATGAATTTGAAAAGGCACTAAGTCGGCGGGCTTTTAGGAAAGCGGTGCCTAGTAAGCCCACTGGAGGTGAGATGTCAGTGTCAGAGTCCTTGGCTCAAAGGGACCCTGCCGATCAATCGGCTGAGGGGTTGAAGACAGCTGCTGGCGACAGTGTTGCTGCAATTTTGGAAGTCGCCCAAAAGTCGGGAAATCTAAAGGGTGGTTTGGTGCGTAAGCTCAAGGAAGCGGCTGCCACCTTACGGAATGTTGTGGAGGCTCTCGCTGAACGTACGGCTGTAGACGAGGTCCGTAACCTGCAGGCGGATAATAACCGACTGCGTCGCGAAACCGAGGCCCTGAAAGCGGAGGTGAAGTCCTACCGCCGCGAATTTTCGGAGCTTAGGGCTGAGTTGTCAGCGGTTAGGGCTGGCCCGTCACAGTCGCATGCCCTCAGTGGCGATTGGCTTGAAGAGATTCGGGCATCGGTTGTTGCGTCTGTTGGCTCAATCTTGAATGCTCGCTTTGCGGGCATTGAGGACAGGCTCTTGCCTGCAAGATCGGTTCGTCCGCCTTTGGCAGCGGACAAGAGACGAGAGGCGGCTGCGCCGGTCTCTGTCGAGGTTCAGGACAAAAGTGTGCCAGCGCCGGTGGTGGCAGTGGCGGAAAAGCCAAGCAAAGCCAAAAAGCCGAAGAAGAACAAGGCAGCTTCCACTTTGGTGCGTCCATCTGCACCTGCAACGACTGCCTCGGCCCCACCGCTTCCGGTGGCTGGGCCGAGTCGTGAAGTGGCTAGGCCAAGTCAGGTGAAGGCTGGGTCAAGCCGTGCTGAGGCTGTGTCTGGGGACACTGAGACGTGGGCCACAGTGGTGCGAAAGGGGAAGGGGAAAAAGAAATCCTCCCCTGCCGGTGTTAGCGTGAGGCCCCCACTACCGGCGCGGCCAAAAGTCAGCAAGCCCCCGGCTAAGCCAAAAGTGGTCCCTGCCCCGCGCACTGCGGCGATTGTGGTGACGCTGAGTCCGGAGGCGGCCGCTAAGGGCGTTACCTATGCCCAGGTGCTGCAGAAGGCTCAGGAGAACGTGGACCTCCCCCAACTGGGCATAACGGGGGGGGGGGGGCTGACTGTGCGGCGGGCGGCGACAGGAGCCCGTCTTCTGGAGTTGCCAACCTCGGTGGCTCCAGAAGTTGCAGACAAGTTGGCAGAGGGCCTCAGTCGGGTTCTGGACGGGCTAGCGAGGGTAGTGCGGCCCACCAAGATGGCAGACCTAAGGGTTAGCGGACTAGACGATGCGGTCACTGTGAACATGTTGGCTGCAGCAGTCGCGCGTGTGGGTGGCTGCTCCGAGCAGTCGGTGAAAGCAAGCCAGGTCCGTACTGGAAAGAGAGGGATGGGCTCGGCTATTGTGAGGTGTCCAGTCCCAGCAGCCTAACGAGTCGTCGACGCACGCCGGCTTTTGGTTGGGTGGTCGTCGGCCACTGTCGAGGCGCTGGAGCAGCGGCCCATGCGCTGCTATAGGTGCATGGGGATGGGTCATACCGTCCCCATGTGCACATCGAAGGTGGAGAGGGGGCGCCTCTGCTTCCGGTGCGGCAGCGAGGCGCACATTTCTGCTGGCTGCACCGCTAAGAAGCTGCGTTGTGCGGTATGTGCAGACGCTGGACGCCCCTCTGGGCACGTGATGGGTGGCCGTGACTGCAAGCCACCCGTCATGAAAGGCAGGGCGGCTCAACAGACTAGAGCCGCCTCTAGTGATGGAAGCCGCCAGGCTGGGGAGGAAGCGCAGATGTCGTCGTAATGCCCAGACATCTTAAGCGCTTCCTCCAGGCGATCGTCAACCACTCGGCTGGAGCGCAGGGCCTGTTGCTGCAGTCCATGGCCGAGTGGGAAATTGACATGGCGGTGGCCTGCGAGCCCTACTTTGTCCCTACCCAGTCATAATAAAAGTTCATAGAAAAGTATTAACAATCGGCTCAATACTGCCCTTTATTGTTAGATCAGCTGAGTCGTAGCTAGGTCAAGGACACGGCGTGCGTCTCGATCAATTTGTAAGAAAGAAGCAAGTTTTAACATATTTTATTTTTTAATTTAAAAGGTAATAATTAGCGAAGTTATAGTTTTGTATTTGTACAGTGTTATAGATTGTATTATAATTAATTAGTGCAGCGTTGATAGATATATATATTAATTGTACCGTATTTTTTGTTCTCAATAGGCATTATTATTGTTTTAGCTTATAAATTTTTTAGTGTTAACTTTTAAATTACTTTTACATAACTTAGGTCGTATATATAGATATTCTGCTCACTTTAGTCTTCGCTCCGCACTTATCTGTTGCTCGGCTCAATAACAACATTATATTATAACATTTTTACCACAATCTCACATTCATTTATTTTTTACCCGACTTCCAAAAAAGGAGGAGGTTCACAATTCGATTGTATTTTTTTTTGCTCGTCTCTTTTTTTCCTCACTTATTTAATTACATAATAATTTACATACAATGCCGTCCAAGTCTCAAGCAGCTATTTCCGTGAGGCGATAAAGGCAATTAACCAGCTTAAGGAAATTGCCTTGGCGGTGATAGCTAAGGAAACGAAAAAGTATAGTATAACGGATTTTACTGCTAGGTACGCCAAGCTAGAGGAACACAAGCACAAATTGGAAAACGTCTTCTACGAGATCCTGGATGACGAGGACCTCACCGATGACGTCGAGGCCACCTATACTAAGAATTATGAAAAGGCGATTTCAGAATACAATGATATCTTAGTTGCGTTTGAGAAATTAAGTGTGGCCTCAGCTCTTCCGGAGACTGCTCATCCGTCCACGTCAGCCACACCTGCTAACGTTCTGCCCAAAATTGCTCTGCCGAAGTTCAGCTCTAAAATTGAAGACTGGCCTCCCTTCATAGCCATCTTTAGGAGTCTTACTGATGACATGACAACCATTTCGGATTCTGTGAAGCTTCATTATCTGCTCTCGTGCATCTCAGGCGAGGCACGCAGTATGGTATCTCATCTTCAGCTCACCAACGAGAACTTCGCCGTGGCCATGGGTATTCTGACCAGGCGATATGAAAACCGACGTGTCCTGATCGACCGGTTTGTGGATCGGGATCATACTAGGGCTACCACACATCCATACGCGCTCTGATATCCGCACACTCTTCTTGACTCCGCTCATTTCTGCGCAATGCGCCCTGAATAACCTCGATTTGCCCATGAAGGATAGAGACTACGTTTTCGTATCTATAGTAGTACGAAAGCTTAAGGGTGAGCTTCGGACCATCTTTGAGCGTAGATATGGATCACGTCAGACTCTGCCAACTCTCAATAATATAATCACCTTCTTGGAAGAGAACGCTCGTTGTGTGGAGACCGAGCGATCCAGCCCACTCTCTTCACAAGTTAGTCGGCACTCCCCACAGAATAACCAATACCGCAGGTGGACCCCCCCTGCTTCTCCACGAGTTTCGCCTCGTCAGCCCGCTCATCATCAATTTCGGCCAATTAACCAGGCAAGAAGTCGACACGACTATAGCACCCCGCAGCCGGCTCCGCTTAGGCCGGTTTACTCGGCTCAACCATCAGCTCCTGTCGCTCCCATTGCAGATAATATGCCCTGCCCATACTGCAGACATAGAGGGCACAAGCTCATCGCCTGCCCGCGGTACAACGACCAACCGATCCAGGGCTGATGGGACTTTATCAACGCTCGCAACCGCTGTCGAAGCTGCTTAGACCCTCATTATGAGAATGAGTGCAAGTCCACGAGGGCCTCCAAAGAGTGTGGAAATACAAGACACCACACATCACTGCATCGGCCCGGTGCTTCTTCTCCGACTCACTCGAACACTCATCTTCTACCTACGCATCTGAGAGAGCAACCCAGACAGCGCTCAGCACACGAGCACCAACATTTTTCGGCACACGCCGCACATGTGAACCCCAGGCCGCACAACAATCAACCCAATCATTCGCGCTCGCCTAGTAGGTCTCGGGTAGGTGGTCAACAATGACTATCTACAATAAACGAACACACAGACCTCACAATCTCACTCTGCGATATCAGCTCCAACCATGAATAATTATTTTTGCAATTCCGCTCAACGTGAAGAGCACGTTACCAATTTACCAATTTTATTGCCAACCGTCTCGCTAAAAATAGCAGACGTACATAGCCACTTTCACACAGCTCGAGCCTTGTTGGATTGTGGTAGCATGATAACACTTATAACTCAGCGCATGGCTCGAATTTTGAATTTACCGCTAAATCAAACATCACTAAAAATCGCAGGAGTGGGCAACCACCACACACAGGACAAAGGAGTCAATCACAATAGTATGTAGACCTACACACCATGACACACCTACGATTACGGCTACAGCGCATATTTTTAAAAATCTTACAGGTAACTTACCAATACAAAAAGTTCCGCGCATAGCAGATGCATAGCCTCCGATTCCCTTGGCATCAAGATCACCATACACCAGCTCCGATCGATCTCTTATTGGGTTCTGACGTTCTCGGCCAAGTTCTGGACGGGACTAAGGTGTCGTTAGGCCGGGGGAAGCCAATAGCCTTCGGCACGATTTTCGATTATGCATTGATAGGACCTATTGCGGATTTACATGCAACGTCTGCGAACAAAGTTACACCCTTACATCTCCTACTCAATTTATTCCCATTCATGCGGTCCTACCCCCGTTTCAGCTCATCGTCGATGTGAGGTGTCCCAGCCCTTACAATTTTTGGGCTAGCCCTCACATACTGTAAGAATTGAAAATTATAATAGGCGAAGAGCTACGTTTGTAAGCATTAATGCTCACCACCCACATTTAGATCAGTTCCCAAGACTTAGCATAACTGATTTGAAAAGATTTGCATTAGGGACATACCAGCTCAAGCAAGCTTCTTCATATTACGGCGAGCACGTGCGAACAAACGGCACTTACACAATAGAAATTAATAACGAAATTGAAGAAGATTCTGGGCACAAATTGAAGTGTAAAATGTTTATACATTAAGTATAGTATAATATAGCATAATATAGTATAGCATTATTATAGTGATAGTATAGCATTAAGTACTGTAAGTCATACTTTAGTAATGTATCATAAATCTCTCATGTATCATCCATATATGGTCGACCACCCATTAAGCTAAGCTTCATTATAAATTTACTTATTATATTCTGATTATTAAATATGTCTCCAACCTAAGAAGACGTTTATCTTTGGAACCTCTAAAGCATACCACATTTGATGGCGACCCTGCTGAAGAGACCTGCTTTTCTGCCCTATTGTTCTACGTAAATCCAAGATGTGTCTGTCAGTCATCGCAGTCAAAAGAAAATATAATTATTGGACAAAATGCTGCTGGATCAGCTGCCAACCAAGCTTACATAGAAGAATTAAAATCCAGCATAGGAACATCTAACATTTTCATGGGAATTGTGGTGTTGATTGTATTGCTGGCGGCTAGCATCGGAGCTTATAAGGTTTACAAGCGATGCCACAGGCGATGGATTCGGGAAGAAGTTAATTCATTGGCACTATAACGAGCTACAAGTATGATTCGACGCGGCCGTTCTCAAAAATCATCGAACAAAGGAGGTGACTAAATGAAAAAAACAAGTGTGTAAGTGCGTCTTTAAACTGTGATCCACGTAAGTGTTTAAACTGTGCATAATTATATTCGGCGCGTGTAAACTCGCGAATATGATACGCGCCGCCCGAGAAGGTTGGTTGACTTGAGTATTCGAATTTCACTAAAAATACGCAATTGATCTGTGTAATGTAAAAGCTGTACAAAACTAAACAAACATTGTTCTGCAGTTGCTCATTCTCTATATCTGTGAAGAACCAAGTCTGTTCCTTGGCCAATTGGAACCACGTCTTCAATATTTACCATGTGGCCGTTTGTTTGAGATATTGTTAATTCTGTGAAAAGCTTTTCGATTTCACTTCCATACTCCTCAACTGACCTCCAACCTTGAGTAGTCTGTTGAAGACGTGCTTGAATAGCCGTAAATGATTTTTTAGTTAAAAGGTGAATTTTCATATCCTTAACAATATCTTTAACAGAAGTATAGTCTGTCAACATGCGCATTTTAGCGTTTTCGGAGAGTCTACTTTTTAAAATAAATTTAAATAATAAAGGAAAATCTGAATCTTTAAGCATATCCGCATACATCTCAATACCATCAATTAATTTCTTCGTAGTCTCCTTTACACCGTCCATAACCGGCAACAAACTACAAGCCGTTTTTAAATCGAAATCCATTTTTGTGAAATAACTTTCTGACTTAATACACAATTTTTTTATCTCTAAATATATTACATTAATATTTTCATATATTTCAATAGCTTTATTAATTATATCCGACTTTTCAGTATACTTTATATTTTCTAAAATTAAACTGCTACTTGATAAAAGTTTTTCACACTCATTTAATTTATTTTCTATGATATTTCCCGTAAATCTTTTTTTACCCGATTTTATTAAGTATTTCTTTATATCAATTAAAGAGTTATATACTAAACATAATTTATCTGTCATACTAAATCTTAATAATTATAATAAACATCGAATCTTAAAATAGCACATAGTAACATTACTGACAATAAGATACCTAAGTACATCGTGTAATTTGAGCGGGAATGGAATGTCGCATCTTTCCTTCTCGGGCGGCGCGTATCATATTCGCGAGTTTACACGCGCCGAATATAATTATGCACAGTTTAAACACTTACGTGGATCACAGTTTAAAGACGCACTTACACACTTGTTTTTTTCATTTAGTCACCTCCTTTGTTGAGTAATTCTTGCTCACTTTTGATACTGGTGTTGTATCTGCATAATCATTATACTCAGGGGCGTGCATTTGGATCGCCTTATTTGTACCCGAAATCTGGTAATGCTGAATTATTCCCACAATTGACAGATGAAGATCTTGGACTTATAAGATGTCCTGCATTACTGGATGACGGTCTCTTAGAGAAAAGATATAAAAACTGTATGATTGAATTCCTTCACACTTCCACCTTCTCGCAGAACGTGTTGGCTGTTCAGTTGAAGAAACATTATTATGATGCTATGAGAACAGGAGTACCGAATGTGGATGTACTGATTAGTAGTAGCTAATAGGTAATAGATAGTAGCGTGGATTAACGGACCTCCCGGATGTGGAAAGACTGAGTTTGCATTGAGAACACACCGACGTCCTGGTAAAGACGAGGGAGTTGGTGATTTAATTTTGACTGTGACTAAGGAAAGTTGCGAGAGTTTGCGTAGACGCGTTAAAGGGATGGTAGATAAGAAATATATTCAGCGTAATTACCGAACTGTTGCTTCACTTTTATTGAACGGTACAAAATATGAATTTGAAAGGGTTATAGTCGATGAAGCTCTCATGGTTCATGCTGGAGCATTGGCTTTTTCGGCTCATCTTGCGGGTGCTAAAGAATTGGTGATTATAGGTGATGTGTATCAGATACCTTATGTACCTATTGTAACATGAGGTAATATGATTTGTAACGAGCATAATATATAAGTATAGATATTACATTAGATTATAAATCGAATATGTATTGATTTGACAGTCTCTCGCTTGGTCTCGCAAGTGCAATACGCACTTCAATAAACGCTTAATATTAAAGCTTTATTATTTTCTCCTCACGTCCGCCACATATTGGTGACCCCGACTGAAAAAAAACACCTGACTGAAGAACAAATATAGGATGGCTACCAATTCTAAACCAGTCTTACAAGCGAAGGAAAATTTACGTGAAGATTCAGAACTGGCAACAATCAGCGTATCATCGCGAATACCGGAATTTTGGTGCGACCAGCCGCGATTATGGTTCGCCCAGTGTGAGGCGGTGCTAGCTTCTCAAAAATTAGGCGATGAAGCGAAGTTTAACTTGTTGCTTCCGAAATTGGGCAAGCAAGTCATCGAGCAGGTTAGCGATATTGTGCTTAATCCACCAGGAACACATAAATATGAGACCTTGAAAAATCGTTTGCTCGCTGTTTACGAAGAGTCGGAGAACCGACAGTTCCAGAAGTTACTGGGGGAAATGGAACTTGGCGATCAGAAGCCTTCTCAGCTTCTTAGGCGAATGCGGGATTTGGCTCGTAATAAGATACCTGATGAAACGCTGTGTATCATGTGGCAAGGACATTTACCCACGTCAGTTCGAGCGGTGTTGGCAGTTAGCGAGGTAAAGGATCTAGATAACCTTGCAGCTATCGCTGACAAAATTATGGAGACCACGAGACCTTTACATGCTGCTGAAGTAAATTGTCAAGCTGAAAAATCGGATGACACGTCATTTCTTATGTCACAAATAGCCAAGTTAAGTGTGAAGGTCATGGAACTTGAAAGATCGAGACCAAGGTATCGAAGTACTCGATGTAATTGGAGGCGACGTACTACATCACGCGGACGTTCAGTATCCGAACAACGACGCCGCAGGTCCGAATCATCGAAATGGCTATGTTTCTATCATCACCGTTTCGGCGTTAAAGCAAAGAAATGTGTTGAGCCATGTGCTTGGAAGGAGCAGCCGGAAAACTAGACAAGGTGCAGCCAAGGGTGGATGTCTGCACCATATCGCCGTTCCACCGTTTATGCGTAACCGACTGCAAAAGTGGTTTACGTTTTCTTGTGGACACAGGTGCAAATATTTCAGTGTTACCGTACAAAAAACGACTCTATGACAATGTAGTTAGTGATAAATATAAACTTTATGCAGCTAATGGCAGTGAAATAAAGACATATGGTGTTAAATCGTTAGTGTTAAATTTAAATTTACGCCGACCTTTTCGGTGGACTTTTGTGTTAGCGGACGTTAAACAGCCAATATTAGGCGCAGACTTTTTAACCTATCATAAGCTTATAGTAGATTTATATCGTCGTCGACTTATTGATCAAATAACAAATATAGATACTATAACATCGATAGTGCAACACGATGAGTCATCTATAACTACGTTGGATATAAATAATAAATATTACGACTTAATGTTAGAGTATCCCGATATAACGAAACCTATTTGTTTCAAAGATACACCAAGACACTCTGTTGTTCATTATATTGAGACTACAGGACCTCCTGTATTTGCGCGACCCAGACCTTTAGCTCCGGACAAATATCAGAAGGTAAAATCGGAATTTGAAATCATGCAAGACGTAGGCATATGTAGACCATCGAAGAGCTGTTGGGCAAGTCCACTCCACGTAGTCCCGAAAAAGGATGGTGGTATTAGACCATGTGGTGATTACAGGCAATTAAATGCCATCACTAAGCCTGACAGGTATCCGATTCCACGCTTACAAGATTTTACATATTTACTGTCGGGTAAAAAGATATTTTCGAAGATCGATATAACACGTGCCTATCATTTCATTCCCATCAATAGTGAAGACATAGAGAAGACAGCCATCACTACGCCATTCGGTCTTTTTGAGTTCCCAAGGATGACGTTTGGGCTAAGAAACGCAGCTCAAACATTTCAGAGATTTTTAAATAACGTCGTACTTCAAAATCTTAATTTTATTTTTGTATATATCGACGATGTAATAGTAGCGTCGAAATCTGAATCCGAACATAAGGAACACCTCAGACTAGTATTTGAGCGATTTAATAAATATGGCTTAACTATTAACACTTCAAAATGCAATTTTGGGCAGAACGAAATCGAGTTTCTGGGATACCACGTTTCGAAAGATGGTATTAAACCCTTAGAACAACGAGTTAGCTCTATAATTAATTTTCCTAGGCCTAAAACAATCGAGGAACTCAGACGTTTTTTAGGTATGATTAATTTTTACAGAAGACATCTTCCTCAAGCAGCAGAGATTCAGTCAAAATTAAATATATTTTTACATAACTGTAGAAAAAATGACAAGACAGAAGTCAAGTGGACAGATGAGTCAATTGCGGCATTTGAACAGTGTAAGGAGAGCCTAATCAGCGCCGTTACACTATCACACCCAGCTGCAGACGCGAATATAGCCCTTATGACGGATGCGTCTAAGACTTGCATTGGCGCAGTATTACAGCAACGTGAAGGCAACACATGGAAGCCTTTAGGATTTTTCTCCACTAAGCTGAGCGAAGCGCAAACGCGATATAGTGCTTTCGATAGAGAATTACTTGCTATCTATATGGCTATAAAGCATTTCAGATATTTGATTGAGGGACGCCCCTTAACAGTCTACACAGATCATAAACCACTCGTTTATGCTTTGAAAAAAAAAATTCTTATACAGACAGCGATACACCGCGTCGATTAAGACATTTCGATTTTATAATGCAATTTTGTTCGAATATTGAACATATTAGTGGATCTCAAAATATTGTTGCTGATACGTTATCACGAATTTCTGAAATTAACATGCCATCATACATCGACTACAATGCTCTTAGCGAAGCTCAGGAAAAAGATAAAGAATTACAAGTTTTATTAAAATCTAAAAATTTATGTTTTAAAAAGTTTCAACTTCATAACAGTCAAGAATCAATTTACTGTGAAGTTTCAAAACAATTCGCACGACCATATTTGACTAAAGAATTCCGAGTGCAGGCTTTCAACGCCGTACATGGATTGAGTCACCCGAGTATAAGATCAACTAGAAAGATGATATGCGATAAATTCTTTTGGCCTTCTATGAACAAAGATGTTGCTAACTGGGCTCGAGCATGTATAGATTGTCAGAAATGTAAAATACATAGGCATACAATATCACCTTTTGGTAAATTTCCCACAAGCAATCGTTTTGAACATATACATATTGATATTGTTGGTCCATTACCACTTTACAAAGGATACAGATATTTAATTACGATGTTAGACCGAGCCACGGGTTGGCCGGAAGCTTTTCCCTTAAGAGACATAACAGCTGAGGCTGTTGCAGAGAAAATATATTCAGGATGGATTTCACGTTTTGGTTGTCCTTTACGAATTACGACTGACCAAGGAAGACAGTTTGAGTCAAATCTTATCAATCAATTATCTAAGCGCCTTGGTATTATGAAAGCTCGAACAACTGCGTACCATCCACAGGCAAACGGTGCTGTCGAACGTTGGCATCGATCTCTTAAGGCATCGTTAATGACTAGAGGAAACAATAATTGGGTTCAGGAGTTACCAACTGTACTACTAGGCTTAAGAGCAAGCCTAAAAGATTGTACGCAAACCAGTGCAGCGGAGATGGTTTATGGCAGTCCAATTAAGCTACCCGGAGATTTTTTTGAGCCTACAACGCCACTAAATTCCGATAGCGAGACATTTTTAAAGCAACTGAGAGAACATATAAGTAATATTTGTTCAGTACCCAAACGAGAGAAAACACAGAAAAATATATTTGTTCACCCTGAATTGCAAAAATGCTCTCATGTATTTTTACGGTGCGATAAATTATGTAAGTCCTTAAATCCACCATATTCAGGACCGTACAAAGTATTAGACCGTAAAGAAAAACATTTTAAAATATTAATGGCAGACAAAGAATGTACTGTTTCTATTGATAGATTAAAGCCAGCATTTTTATTAAATAATAATGAAGAGTTTGATACGCGGGATAGCACTAGTATCGAAATTCCAAACAAGGAGACACTTGTAAATAATAAAGTAACGCGATCCGGCCGAATCAGCAAGCCAGTAGTAAGATTCCGAGATAAATTTATTTAAAATCTGCATCTTGGTGAAGCTATACACATTCACATTCTCTAATTATATTGCCAATAATTATAATGGGTTATAATCAGAGCAAAGAAGAAAAGAAGGAAGAAGTTATAATCGCCCAAATGGGAGGAAATAATACTTCGCAAATTTCTGAGTTAAAAGTTGATATATATTTCGGCTTATTATTTTTAATAATCCTTATGGTAATCACGTTTGGAATATACAGATATTGCCGAAGGAAATTTAGAGAGACTATAAGGAAGGAAATGCAGAGCATGCCAGATTTAACTGCTGCAGTATAACGTTTTAAGTGCCAGTGTACGTCTTAGTAAAAAAGTGCAAGTGTATACTGATTTACGGTTCAATATTGTACGATGCAGCGGGTGAATATTGATAATACGTGTTGTCTTGACAATATCTTTAATGAGACTAAACAAATAGCATATACCATATTCATTCATTCACAACCTTTATAAAGTATCGAACAATGTTAAACACATAATTTCGAGTAGCGCAGTGAATAATTATGCTGAATAGGTAAAAAAATTCATGTTCCAAAAAATAATTTGTGATAGATGTAAGGAAACTGTAATAGCATGTAATTATGATATTTTTAGGTATTAATAATATTATTATTTTTTGCAAACTATATTTTATGTCTAGAATTTAATTTTATACATTTTACATTTTTTTTGCGTTAAAATGTATTCATTTTTTTTAATAACTTTATATATTATTTTTTACTTTTTTTTAAAAAGGGGGAATATTGTACCTATTGTAACATGAGGTAATATGATTTGTAACGAGCATAATATATAAGTATAGATATTACATTAGATTATAAATCGAATATGTATTGATTTGACAGTCTCTCGCTTGGTCTCGCAAGTGCAATACGCACTTCAATAAACGCTTAATATTAAAGCTTTATTATTTTCTCCTCACGTCCGCCACACCTTATATTGATCGTGATCACGTGACTAGCATACAGTATGCTAGTCCCGATCGATTTTGTTCGGTATCTCAAACCCTATTGCGGACTCATAGGTGTCCGATAGATGTCACTTATATTCTCGCTGATAAATATGATGGGTTTTATTCTGTAAGCCCCGTTGTAAAATCAATGACTCGTGAGAGATATTCCGGTGGTTGTGTGTTGCGAGAGGAAGGAGTAGTTTATCTCGCGTTATATCAATCTGATAAAGAAGATCTAATCAGACAAGGTTATGCAGCGAAAGGAAGTAAAGTTTTAACAGTTCATGAGGCACAAGGCCAGACCTTTGAGCATGTGCGTTATGTACGTACCAGTCCTAAAGCTTTGAATCTTTATGAATCCGAAGGTCATGCTATTGTTGCTATCAGTAGACATACACGTTCGTTCGTGTATTATTCGGATGTGGATGATATAATTGTGAATTGGATGAATAAGGTTCGTGGTCATTCGGAGGTGCAGTTGATAAGATGGAACGACGAACGTAAGCTGGCGAATGGAGAATCGTTGGTCGGTGGTTATTGTGCGCCTCAAACAATAGAATTTAAACCGGAAAATAACAACTATGCTGGGCCAGAGGCGACTGCAGCTATGTCGTCGATTATTGGGGCGCAACATAATCCACGCGTTCCGATGACGTTGAGTGAGACAATTGCAGCTTACCCAATTCCGCGATTTGATTTGCAATCACCAAGAGATACAGACATCGGATACTTGCAGAGCTGGTATGATGATGTGATGCCTGTCGCTGAACTTAATCTGAAATAAAATTGAAGAGGTTGCAGGCTTTGCATAAGGTGGATGTACTTTCGAACGGATCAGAGGTTTATCAGACGGCAGTTAATGGTGTGCGTGTGCTGTTGATAGCGATGCCGAATGTTAATCTTCTGGAGGAATCTTTACTGCATGTGCTAGCGAGAATAGGTATGTGTGTGGAAAGTAGGATTAGGGTATCCATTGATGTTCTTGTTTGTAAGGATTATGCTGTGGACAGTTTCAGGGTTATAATGTTGAGTAATTTCTGTAAAAAGTTAAATATTGAAGAAATATGCATAATAAAAGATAAAAATAATGAAAGATTTATTAACGATTTAAATGATGAAATAAAGTCGATTAAGAAGTGGTCCGGACCACGGATTTGCATTTTAAAAAGTGTAACTAGGATTGATAACGATGAAGAAAAATCATTCATATTAAATGATTTTCATTTACTACCAACCAGTGGCCATGCTGGTGTCCGTAGGATGGTAAACAATATTAAAAGACGATTTTACTGGCCAGGTCTCGAAACTGATGTAAGAGAATTTGTTAGAAAATGTTCTAAATGCCAGAAATCTAAACATTGTAAATACGTTAAAGAACCCATGACTCTCTCGACAACTGCGTCATACGCGTTTGAAAAAATATTTATGGATATAGTGGGCCCGCTACCAAAAGATTATGACGATAATGTATATATTTTAACTGTTCAATGTGAGTTAAGCAAGTTTATAGAAGCTTATCCACTAAAAAATAAGGAATCTATTAGCGTAGCTAGAGCGTTAGTAAATAATTTAATTTAAGATTCGGCATACCTAAAATAATAGCAACAGACAGAGGAACAGAGTTCACATCTTCCGCCATAACCCAGGTATGTAAACTATTAAATATAGATAATATTACCTCAACAGCATACCATCATCAATCCATCGGAGCATTGGAGAATGCTCATAAAAATTTAGGTTCATTCTTACGAATTCACTGCGACAAAGACAAACAATCTTGGTCTTATTGGCTACCATACTGGTGTTTTAGTTTTAATACCACAGTCCATACCGAAACAAAATACCAACCGTTTGAACTTGTATTTGGTAAGCAGTGCAATATTCCTAATAGATTGTCTAATACAATAGAACCTGTGTATAACCCAGAAAATTATAGTAGTGAACTTAAATATAGGTTGCAAGTTGCTTTTAAGGATGCCCGAAATAATTTATTAGAAAGTAAGTGTAGTCGTAAAATAAAATATGATAAGTATATTAATCCTATTAGTTATAATAAAGATGACTTAATTTTAGTAAAGTCAGAAACAGGTGGTAAGTTGGACGAACTGTTCAATGGACCATTTGTTGTATTAGAAGATATGGGACCAAATGTAAAAATAATTAAGGATAAGAAAATAGATATAGTGCATAAGAATCGAACAAAACGATTTATTAGGTAGTACATGTAATATAAAAAAATATATTTATATATTAAAATATTTTTTTTTCTTTCACCCCCGGAGGTGAAGTGTAAAATGTTTATACATTAAGTATAGTATAATATAGCATAATATAGTATAGCATTAGTATAGTGATAGTATAGCATTAAGTACTGTAAGTCATACTTTAGTAATGTATCATAAATCTCTCATGTATCATCCATATATGGTCGACCACCCATTAAGCTAAGCTTCATTATAAATTTACTTATTATATTCTGATTATTAAATATGTCTCCAACCTAAGAAGACGTTTATCTTTGGAACCTCTAAAGCATACCACATTTGAAAATAATTTCTTACTTAGAGGGAGAATAAAGACTCGACATATTAGTGGCAGAACTTATTATGCATATTTGTTGATAAGTAAAGATGAAAATGTTGCCAATAGTGTCGAAGCTGTATCAGGTTATTGCTGCAGCTGTCTTGTGGGCAACAGAACTGTAGGTTGTTGTGCCCATGTTATGTGTGTGGTGTGGTACCTGTGGTGGGGCAGACATAATGATGTTACTGCTCCGGCCCAGTTTTTAGATGACATATTTAATGAATTCTCATTTGAAAATGAATAAGTTAAATTGTTAAAATATTTCAATATTAAAGTACCTATTCATTTTTATTTGTTTTTTTTTACACAACACAACTTAATCCCAATGATTGTTTAATCTACAAAACAATTGTAAGACTGTTTGCTAGGTGTCAAATAAATACCCCTCATACCAATTATTATTATAGAATTATATTTCAAAACAAAGTCAATTATCTTACAAAGAATAGCACAATGTAGTATTTACTTATTAAAAAATGATTTTGTATACACAAGTTGTTTTTTATTTATTGCCTCACCACTGTCTTATCTGAAATATTTTTGTAGGTTTCTTGGGTCACAGTTAAATGATTAAAAGCACAAATGCTAAAACAACCTGTGCATAAGTTAACAACCTGTGTATAAGGGAAAGTCAATATCTTTGTTGTGTCAAATATCTTCAATAATCTAGAGTAAACTAAAGCATTCACTTACTTGCATTCAGATCATAATCAAACATTTACAGATAGTTAAAACTACAAATGTAAATAAAAAAACAAAATGAATGAAGAAGGGTAGAAAACCACTTTTGTTGTGACTTTTTTTTCATATTACCCGTCGAGCTAGAGACGCAGCGTTTTTTTAAATTAAATGTACACTAAGAAACCTACAAAATATGGTAAATATCATCATGGCACAAAATTTTTCGAAGCAAAACTAAAGTCCATACTGCGGTGGGCATTCTCCTTTCCACCGAAACCAAAATTTATATTTTTTTATTAAATAAATTTATTATCACAAAATATGTTTTATTTCTAATACTTACCTGCATACTTATTATTTATATAATTATATTATTTATTTAAAAAAAATTTCATATATTATGTAGTCGCAGTAATATTCTTCACTTCGGCCTGGTTAAGGGGTAAGAACCGAGCCTGAAGTAGGCATGGAACCTTCTCTCAGGGGAGTTGCTGGACTCCTACTGGGCCGTCCCCCGGGTGGCGGATAGGGGAATGCCACCACATTGGTGGTACCGGTTCAACCGGCGCGGACCAAAACCAGTACGCATGGGCGTGCCTTTAGGGGTTTGTTAACCCCACGGCCTAAGGGAGCACACCCTGACAGAAAAGCGCGGAGGTGGGGCGAGCCCGGCGGGCGCTTAACTGCGCAGCCCGGCTAGCACTTTGTGCAACGCCCCTCTCACATCATAATCCCGGAACCCGGTGTCGTTGACCATGTCTAGCGGCCGGGAACTGGGACCGATAGCCTCGGCTTAACCGCCCGGGCTGCGAGGAAGAAAACCTCTATAAAAAATCACCCCAATCCCAAGTGGCGGAGCAGCGCGAGGGGATGCGTGGCCGATGGGTAGATCGGTCACTACTGCTACCCCCGCTAGAGTACCGGCCGAAACTATGCGGGTTACGCTAGGCTTATCCGCAGACCCCCCCCCAACGTGCGTTCACCTTGTCGTGGTGGGGAGGCTCAGTAGTGCCCGGCAATCCAACCGGGCGCGAAGCTAAGAAACGCACAGGGAGGTTGCCCACTTCGGTGGGCGGTGGGAGGTGGCCCTCTTCGGGGGGCGGTGTACCATGCGGGTTGCTCCTGGTACTTCTCTGATAGCAGAGTGGACCTTGGAGCAGCCCCATGGTTGTGGTGGTCTGCTACGGCAGACCTGCCGTCGGGGCGTCGTAGTGAATGCGTAAGCGATCCTGCGACGCCCCATTAAGACGGGGGAAGAATTTGTTGGGTTTTAGTGGGTAGTACTGGCTGTATTACGCCGGTGAGTCCCACACGTCGTGCGTAAATGCATTTCCCAACGTTAAAAAAAAAAAAAAAAAGGCTTATCCGCAGACAAGGGGCACTGTTGCGGATCTACCCACCCTTCCCCCATACTCGTGGGAATCATATGGATACTTTTACACAAAAAACCAAAACCCAAGATGATGTGCCTGTGACGGGCGGAGAAGACGTGGTGCCTGCGACGGGCGGAGAAGAGGTTGTGCCAGCGACTGGCGGTGTTGGCGTTTGGCCTGAGATGGGCGGTGTATCGGTTGCGCCTGATAAAGGTGCAGAGAAGGTCTTCGCGGCAAAGCAGCCGCAAGTCGTGCTCACCCGCATCCAACTGGGTGAAAGCGCAATGTCCAGACGGGGCTCCGTGTCCTCGGGTGGCAAATTCTGGGCGGGGTCCGGCAGAGACTCTGATGGGGAAAGCTTTGTCTCCATGGGGTCAGCGGGAAGTCTGGGGAAATTCCAGTACAAAAAGGATGCTAGGAAGAGGCCCAGAGTCAGTCGAGGCAGCAAAACAAGCTCGTCGGAAGATGAGAAAAAGCCTAAGGCCAAGGTAGTAGCCAGCCAAGGTAGAGGTCGCCCACCTACGACAGGCAAGTACGCCAAAGCTGCGTTAAACAAGGCTAAGCAGTAGGAACTCCGACTACGGGCAGAGGAGGAGGTGGCTGGGATGACGCTAGCGGTGCAGACCCGTTCCAGTTCGTACCTGTCACTGGACTCGTTGGCCATGGAGGGGAATGTCGCGGAGGCGGTATTGGTGTCTGACCTCCAGAAAAAGGTGGCAGAGAGCCTGCTGGTAATCGAGACAGTCGCCAAGAGATCAGGGAACCTTAAAGGGGTGTTCATAAAGGCCCTAAAAGAGGCGGCCAGCTCCATCTCGACGACAGTGGACGTGTTGGCCAGAAGAACGGCATCGGAAGAGGCAATTCAATTGCGAGCGAGTAACGCACGCCTGCAAGCGCCTGCATCCGCCGCAGGAGGACCGGGCGCCGGAGAGCGGCCGACGATCGCCGCCTCCCCCCCTAACACCAGCCAGAGGGCGGTAGACTTGGGGATGTCTGCCGCCTAATCACCTGGCCCGAATAGGCGCGCGCGGTGTCCCCCGCGCGCTACTTCAAACGGTGGTCGTCGAGGGTGCTGCTCCCACCCTCCGACACCGAGACGTGCCGTAGGGCAATCGCCGTCGGGGTTCGCGGATGATTTTCCGGT